TGATCCTTATTATTGAATCCTTCACTATCAGCCCACTTCTCAACAGATGATACGTCAATAATAGGTGAAAAAACACCCATCTCATCATTGAAACTGTCACTGGCACTATGTGCATGTAGTCTGCCCAGTGGCCCACCAGGCCATAATAGATGAGTTCTATTTGGTGTTTGTTCTACTGATGCTACAGTACTTGTGGAAACTCCACGAGAACCTGGTGCCAAAGCGGACTGTGAAGCTGAAGGTGCCGTTGAGGGAAGTGGATCCGGAATGACAACTGAATCTTCCACAGTACTGCCAAGAAGAGCCATCTCAGAACTGTAGTTTTTCTCATTCACATTAACTGGTTTTGATGTTTGCCATGATAAACTTGTTACATCCTGACCAATAAAAAATTATGTTAACTTTGCAATCCAAAGTAAAAAAAAGAAAACATATAGCGTGAGTCAGTTGACCACAACAATATATGTCACTAAAAGAAGGTTTTTTCCTGCTACTGCTGGATTTTAAATTGGTGACAACAACTAAATAACCAATAGTGATAAGTGCAAAAAGTAACAATCCACGGTATCAGAGTAATTGGATATGCCATGCTAAATAGATTGCACTATGAAAAAGGTATTGACCTCGGAATTACTGAAAGCATGCAGGACAGTAACAGGCTGTGGTTTTCCACGGACGTCGTAGAACACTACTCTACCGTTACTTGTTCCAGCTGCCAGAATGAAACCATTATCCCCAAACGCCAGAGAGGAGAAAGGTGCCTCATAAGAAATGCAGGACGAAGATCTTCTGGAGCCAGAATCATAAGTGTAAAGCTTTTTGTCCATTCCCACACTAGCAATTATCTGTTACAGTAGATAATCTAGATTGTAGATTACTTCGATACTATGTTTATAAGCTCTATGTCAAATAGAATTAGACAAGCCTTATCAAAACTGACAGTGCCGTGCACATGTTTAGAGATAAAAAAAATTGCAGTCACAATTATCTGACTTTATAGCGTATGGGTAGCAAGAATGATTGGTAGGATTCAGAAACCTTTTCGTTCGATGGAGAAAAGCAAACACCAGCAGTTGGTGCCGAATGCTGCTTCAACCAGGACATCTGCGGAAATGAAAGCAAATGATCACTTCTACCAGAAATTAAATAGGAAGCATTAACACGTCTAAGCAAAAACATAACCAGTCGTCTGACTTATGATTTCTATTTGTGATATCTGCGAATGTAGAGGCAATGGAACGGAATATACAATCTTTCCACATAAATTGCAATAAAAGAGAATACCTTGGGGCTACGACCAGTTGTGTCCCATAGATGCACAGTGCCATCATCACCTGCAGTAAGTAGAAGGTGTCTACTGGACCTTGAATAATCAAGCAACCTTAATACCTGGTGTCTTGAATCGATTAAAAAGCCAATTAGTTTGATGACCAATACTCTGAGCTATGGATAGAAGCATACATGTATAAACTGAACAACCTGCCCATTTGGATCTTTGAGTTCGGTAGCCCTTGCTCCAGATGCAAGGTTGTGGACTATTAAATCCCCACCAACACTGACAGAAGCCAAATGCTCATCTTTGCAATTGTACATCACACCCGTTATGGTACTTGTATGACCCTTCAACTTCTTAATACAAAGCTTCCTTTGGAGATCCCATATCTTAACAAGTTGACCAGTTCCTCCAGAACAAATGTACCTGGACCCTTTTTTGCTGAAGCTAATAGCGGATAAACATTCCTGAACTCATTATGACACAAGCATATAAATAAATTAGTATCATTCAGGAGGTGCAAGGCATGGAAATCAGAATCACTAGAGAAAGGTACTAACCTCAGCACCATCACCACCGTCCTTCCCAGTAACTGGAACCGTTCCTAAACTCTGCCCATTTTTCCGCCACAGAGATATCTTCTTATCTTCTCCCGTACTCGCCACAACTAAATCTGCATCCCCAAATGAACATAACTTCAACAAATGGAAAAGAAAGAGAACAAACATTGTCCTTTGACTAAAACCAAACAGTTCCGCCAGATTGAATCAGATAGTATCCGAAACACAACGATGAACATGTCTGCTTCCAGCAGAAATTGACTAATTACATTCCCAAATACGATCTCTAAAAGAGCATACCAATTCAATACAGAAACTCAATTGTGAAACAGCAGATCACAGAAAATCCCAGATTTTCTCTAGTGGTTACATATTCCTAAGACCAATAGTGTAAATGGTGAATCACAACTTCAGTTACTTTACTAATCTCTCTCACCAACCAAAGCAAACATCAGGGAATGGGACTAATCGGAGATTACTTACTAGTATGGTTCCACTTAACGGAGTTGACAGCAGAACCAGGTGAAGGGGTATAGCTCAAAACGCAGGGATCACCGGAATCGGCGGAAACGTCGAAAAGCTTAACCGTATCTCCGCCGCTCGCAGCCAAAAGGCGCCACGAAGGCTCCACCAAGTTCGACATCATCGCTGCCTTCGTTTAGGCTCACAGTTGACCAAAAAAAAAAAAAAATCCTGAGAAAACTCAAAATTACTAATCTTTCAGAATCTGGACAATGCGGGAACTCTACTTCTTTTTTTTCTTTTTTTTTCTGGGGAGAGCAGCAAAATTTTGAACCCTATGAGATGAGAGAGAGATTCGAAATGCGAGAAAGGAAAAAAAAAAAGTATTTTATAAAATTAAAATCTAGAGCGCTTGTGTCCAATTTGATAAAAGGCTTTTTATTCAAAAAAAAAAAAGAATATAGCTATTAATGTTATTACATCATTTTTCTCCGATTTTACAACTGAAAAAAAATGAAATTAACAATTTTTAAAAATTAGCAAGTGGTTTTCTAAAATGAAAATGATGATTTTATGAAGTTTTGAGATTTGATGACTTTAAAAACAGGGAAAAAGTCGCATTTCGGATTTTAGAGAGTGATTAGAAGAGAAGCACGAGAAGGCTAGAAAACGGATAATTTCAAATTGAAGCTCAAATTTCAGTTTCATTTGATAATCTACACGTGTGAGTTGAAAAGTGGAATTAAGTACTCTCAACAAAATTGGAAAACATGAATCAATGGTCGATCCTTTAGATCGATCACTATGGTTTTTATAGAATGGGACTACAGTATTAGAAGAGTTAAAATTCATGTAATGTACATAGTGTTTAAATTCACATACCTAGATTCGATTAAACTAGCTAGACTACTCGACTCTAGAAGATACTACAACTTAATTAGTCATTTGATGTTATCAACTTTTGTGTTACTAACTAATACTAGTAGCTAAGTAACCTTGAATTAGCTAGCAGACCACTTTTATGATTCTTTTAGCGGCCCTTTGAAGTGAGTCACTTGACCCCAATATCTAGGAGCCAAGTATATATATATCCCCGTTAGATAATAATAAATTAAAAAACTATTGTATACTAGCTAAGTGTGTCGACAAACTATTATGAACTCACTCTCAGTCGACAGATCATGACTAAGCATGTATATAAATTAACCTTCCATAGACTGAGTTCGTGAGAGGTATATTTTGCAATATTTCTGCATATTTGGATAAGAATTAGCCATTTATGTTCTCTTTTAAAATTATATTTTTGCTTTCTTTTTTTTTGGTAAAAAACATGTGAAAGCCATATCTCTGTTCATTAGTTGATGTCGGTATGTATGCGTCTGCATGCTTGTGGGTTGGAATAATCAAAAATGTTATCCGCCGAAATAACAAGAGTGGCAAGTGATCTGATTCTTCTTCTTCTTAAATATCAACCAACACTAGCTACAACAACAAAAAAGGTATGCATATTATGCGGCGAATCTTACTTGATTTGGACTAGATAAAATGCAATCAGATCATTAAAGAGGAGATATTGACATGGAATATGCTTTTACTGTTTTTTTATTTCAGCTCTTGCTTTGCGACCTCTCCTTTTTTTTTTGGGAATAAATCATCAGATCTATTCTGATCTGATTATATATAGCTTCGACTTCACCAATTATATCATTGACTGCGATCGAATTATATAAATGTCCGGTAAAAATATCAACTACACATCTCATTTTACAGGTTAAAACATATATATGTAGACCAAAATGTCAATAGGAAAAGAGAGACAAAAATATCAATATGTAGCTGGCAAAATATCACAAGTGTCTAGCTACGAAGAATAAATGGAGAAAAACAATTACAATAAAATCCTAACACAAAGATGAACTCGTAACTCGCTAATCAGTTTTTCATTCTCGAATGTTATCTCTTTAAGATTTTAGATTTGACCATGGCTTTTATGTTTTGGTCATGTACATGCATATAGCATTCTCTCCTTTCTTTAAAAAAAACACATCAGAAAGGGAATAACCTTTGTCTCCCTATCCAACATTATCCATATATGACATCTAGCTCCGGCCCAAAGATTTTCTTATTTTTATAACCAAAAAAAAAAGATCGAACATTAACCCCATGATCTCCTACATAATCCGAATTAAGTTTCTTTTTCTTTTCTTGTTATTTAAACGAAAGGTTAATATTCGAAATGTTGAGGTGTCTATGAATAAAACCTTTAGACCATACTTTATAATAACGTAAATGAAACTTCTATAAGTCTTAGAATAAAGTAAAAAAAAAAGCTACACGTTCGGTAAAGAATAATAGTAGTAGTAAGAAGAAGGATATCGGAAGAGTACAAAAAAAGAAAGTAGTAAAAGCAAAGTTTATCCACAGCATCAATGAGAAAAGACACGTGGCTGTGAGAAGAGAGCTGAAGACGGCGGCAGAGCCACGTGGGGATCACGTGAACCCATCTCCTTCTCATCACAAAGGAGTTGGTTATATAACAGACCGTTGAGGGGAGTTAGGGCAAAAAACACCAAAAAAAACTACTCTCTTCATCCATCACACACACTTAAAACATTATCTCAATATTCAACAACTCAAACATCTCTCACTCTCTCTCTCTCTCTCTCTCTCTCTCTCTCTCGAAAGCTCCTATTATATATTTATATTAAATAAAAATCTAATTAGTCATTAGTAAACCGATCAATGGACATGATCAAGAAAACCAAAGCTGCTTCATCGTCTTCTTCGACTTCATTTGATCATCTCTTTGGTCCTAAAGGATCATCTACCTCTGCTTCATCTTCATCTTCTTGTTCCACTATACTCGACTCCATCTTCCCTCCTCCGGTAATATATATATATATATATATATATATATTATTTACACACTTATTTTTTTTATATATTTATGTATATGCATGTATGTATATATGTTTGAGTGTTAGTATGTGCATATATATAAAAGTCTGATGATCTTAATTTCATTTAGTGAGAGTATATAGCGATTGGGATACCAGGTTTCGGCGAATTCAGTTGTAGATTTGCTGAAACTTTACTCCAATAAATCTAAATGATATGATGAACTATATATATATATATATATATATAAGATACGCAAATTTTGTGTTGCTTTTTTGGGAACAGATAAGGCTTACAAAAGTCCTAAAGAATTTTCCTAACTAGCTACACGACAAGTGCGCTTCGTTACTATCACAACCATATATGCATATGCATGTATCTTCTTCTTATATATGGGTGTGCATATATACCATATATGTGTGCATGTGTATGTATGTGGTCTATATATAACTTTATTATTAGTATCAAGTGTATGTATAGATAGTTAATTTGAAGCCATTTTATAATGTAGGTTGTAGCAAGGAAGACTGGAAATTACACTGCTCCTGAAGTTCAAGGCAACAACAACATCTCTCAAGCCACTGGTAATAATATACCGTTTACATAGCTTTCTCTTTTTGAAAATACTAGAAAAGTAATTATGTGTAATCTAGTAAACTTAGTAGAAAATAAATCATATTTCCAGTTGTATATGACTATATATATGCACAAAATCATATGATTTGTTATTGGTTATAACTTATAAGGATACTTATATCTTTGTTTTGGTGTGTTTTCAAATTAAAGATGAAAGAAGCAGCCATGAAAAGAGAGAAGCTTCTTATTTCAGCTCCTCCATTTACTACGGAGGCCAGCAACACTATTCACCTCCACGAACCGATGGCTCCTCCACTTCTCCATCTCATCAGCCCAAAGAATCTGTTGATCGCAATGACTCAACCACCTCTGCTTCTAGAGGAAACTGGTGGAAAGGTACTTACTACTTAATTCCTACATTATTTAATTGCTTAATTAGTAATCTCTATTCTCAAATCATTATCTCAAGTCTCAACTCACCAATGGATTATTTCATTTATGTAGGTTCTTTGTATTACTAAGATCAACCTAATAACTTCAACGACACTTGATTTACGCAATGGCCATATGTATTTACAGGTTTTGTTTATATGTTGTTCATCTGTTTCTTTTGTAATCTCATATGTTAGGGGTTGATAGTTAAAGATGGATGTTAATGGACCGCATCTAATATATGACTATTGTATCTCATACAAGACGTATTTAACTACTCACAATCATGTAAGTAACAAGCCATACATATTTCATGATCAATCATCGTTTTAATTCAAATATTTATTGAAACCAAGTCATACACCTGTGGACGTGTGATAATTTAGACTGGTTTTAAAGAAGACACTATTGCTCTCTGTCTGCTGCTTCAAGGCAGAGTATAAGCTACAAGAGAACAAGAAAAGAAACACTTTATCAGAAAACTTGCATCTGCGATGAAACAGAAAAGTTAAAATAAGTTTTTATGTTATTACCTCCACACTTGTAACCGATGGGACGGGTAGCGATGTTGCAGCGTTTAGGAATGGTCATTGAGATCTCCGGCTTTGCTCCAGAGCTCCTAGCTGTTGAAGAAAGCATGACAGCACAAAGGCATTTCGGGTTCTTTCCCATCTGTTTCACTCGAGCACAGCAAGTGGAAGACACTTTTGCAGATGTGTCTTGTGCAGCCATTGCACAAGGAGCCAGCTTGATGGCTTCTCTATCTGGGGGATTTCTCCCGCATTCTCCAGCTCCATCGACCATGGTCTTGAGGCTGTAGATGCAGAGCACTAGGAAGACAATGCGAGGTAAAACATGGGCTTCCATTTTGAAGAAGACTTTTGATTATGCATATACTACTTGTGCAACCTGACATTTATAGCAATTGAAATGGCCGGAGGATCTGGCAGGATAAAAAAATCCACATAGAAATAGTGGAAGAAGCACTAGAGGAACATAGTAATTACTTCACCTAATCAGTCGCATTAAGGGTTTCAAAGTGCAGAGTTATTTTAAACTAAAGTAAGGTCAGCTCCCCTTAGTCACTAAGCTAATCATTTGAACCTTTGAGAAAGCAAAGAGGTGTTTTAATATCACAAACCAATATCACAAACCAAAGGATAAACTTCAAAATTATGGTCTTATGAGCTTATTTGTTTCTAACAACAACTTGTATGTCAGCAGTAGTATTATCAGCCTTCAATGAGAACAATGAGATCACCACAAGAGATCTAGATATAATATATTCTTTTTCTTCAGTCCCCAGAGCTATTTATGCATACAATTCAGCTGAAGCAGTTCAGGAGTAAAGTGGTAGTATGACAGAGGAAACATATCATCCAGCTTGATGAGAATACACCAAACTAGAAACAACTGAAAATTCTCTAATCCAAATGAGGAACATAGAAAAGGTCTCTATTTTTGATGTTTGATTCCAAGTAGGGTAAAAAATCATTCTTTGTACAGTAACTCTGCTTTATCAATAATCCAAGAGAACCGATCAAACAAAACAAAGCATCAGAATCCAGCATCAGAGAAAGCACAATCTCATACCCATTTCCTTGGATCGAATCAATTTGAATCCACCAGTAAATATTCCTGATAAACAAACAAGTGCCTAATTCAAATCTAATTGAGAATATCATCTAATCCAAAACTCAGACATTAAACTTAAACCAGAAGCCAAAACCAAAGATTTACAAGAACCATATCAGGAATAAGAATCATTCTCATTTCCATCACATCATCATACACACATAATCCTAACAGTATCAATTCATGGAATGAAAACCATGTTTCTAACGAGTAAAAGCATATAGCATAAGAGACACATAGATAAAAAGTGCAGAAGGGACCAGAATCAGAAGCGGCACAACAGCAGCATAAGTATGACCACTCACACCACAACCCAAAGTCCCAAGCTTGATCTGAACAACATTAATCAAAGCCAACATGAGGAACCCACATCCGCAAACCGATCCCAAACCGGAGATAACCATCCCAAATCTAAGAGCCGTCTTGTTCACATAGTACACCACAGGATCGATCCGAGTAGAGAAGTGGAACGAAGCAGCTATGTTAAGCCTCATGGCCTGTTTGAGACCTAGAGCGATGAGACTCGAGAATAGGAACGAAGCGAAGGAGTAGACATGGAAGGCGACGAGATTCTCAGCCATACGAGCTGTAGGGACGCAATTTGGATCGGTTACGAGGCTGTTGTTTGGATCGGTAGGGTTCCAAGCTAATCCGATGAATACGGCGAGGGTGAAGAGAGAGTTCACATTCACGATTCCGTCCAGAGCTGTGATATGAATACTCGTCGTCATCTTCGTCTCCGGCAGATGCGGCTAATCGGCGAGATTCTCGTCGAGAGAAGGAAATAAAAGAGAGGAAACAAAAAAAGTTTGGATTTTTCCGGAAAAAGAAATCGAAGTTAAAAAATAAAAATCGCCGCTGCCGGGGATCGAACCCGGGTCACCCGCGTGACAGGCGGGAATACTTACCACTATACTACAACGACTTTGTTGCTAGACGATAACTAAATTACAATAATATTGGGAAATCTCTAGTCTTTAGTTTTGTTGGGTTTGTTAACCAACCAGAACAACTGTGGTGACTGGTGAGAATGTTTGTTACGGCTACTTCCATCTTTTTTTTTTATAAATTTTGCATTTTTTTTTTATCTGTTATGATCTGCAAAAATAGACACTTTACCATTTGAAATAAGACAAAAACTACAAGTAATATCAAACAAATCAATCCATGTCATGTCTGCATAAATTATACACTCCTCTATTGAGTTACTCCATTAGGGTCTTAAGAGACTGTGTACTTTGGAGGACCTTTTTGATGGACTGATGTTGAGTTTCTTTTCTTCTCTTCTTCACCTTCTTTGCCGATCTGGTTCATCACAGCTGTATCTGAACTATCTGACGGACTCGCGCATATTTTCAGTTTCGATTCCATGCCTAGATAATTGTTCAAGACTCTTCTTACTCCAAATCCTCGAGAAGGAAGACCTTTCTCACTGACTTTGCTAGTGTCCTTGCTGGAGTAAGGTGTCCTCCTCTCTCCTTTCTTGGGGCTAATCACTGAAGGAGAGAAGCCTGGTGTTGTTGAGAAGCTTGATCTGTATGGAGTTCCTGATGCAGCTATTAGATAAGGGATTGGTACTACTTTCTTGTGAGCTATAATGCTGCTGACTGTTGGATTTGACAACAGATTGTTATCCTCGGATTGCTTTGTTAAGTCATCCACGTAGAGTAAATCATCAATTCGTGCTACGATGTTTGATGCTAAGCTCTCAAGTGCCCTCGAGTAGCTTTCGAGGATTGATTTCCCAATATCCTGAAATTTTCAAAAGTACAGTATAAGTAAGAACAAGCAAAGCCACTTTATAATAAGCTATAAACTGTTGACAGAGAAATTGGGTGGTTTTGGACCTTGTTCCATTGAATCTTGCTAATGTCTAGAGAAGTCTGCGTTAGAGATGGAAACCGCTGCTTCAAGCAACGTAAGAGAGTTTCAGATCTCTCCACAAGCAATCCCCTTTTGTCACCAGCAGCCATACGTTCTTTAACCATATCCCATGATAATTTTGGAGTAGAGCCAGAAGTATTATTGTTGTTGACTCCTAGTTTTGCTTGAACTCTTCTGCGCCAAACATATATGGAAGCTTCCACACGGTTTGCGATATCAAGAGCAATATGCTCAGAGGACAGATCAAGGCAATCAAGTAGACACTCCACAGAAAATTTCTCAGATGTGATGTACTTGTAAATAATATCCCCAAGGCATGATCTACCGTTCTGCACCACAATTTTAATGTCAGAATAAAGAGTTTCTCAGGATTGCTTAATAAGGATGCTCTAGTTTAAAAATATAGACCTTTGGAAGGGTTTCAAGGTATGATTCAGGAACATCCATTTCGGTTAAAACAAGGCTGTTAATTGCCATTGCAGCTTTAAGTATCTGCGTTGCACATTCCCTCTTGTGATTCAACTCTGTTCTTGCTTCTTCAGTAAGACCATTAGGTGCTAAACGAGGAACAGGCAACCACCATTTCTCCTCTTGGCGCTGAATCTTTCTGCGGAAAGAAGCTGAGCCATCGTTTTCCGAAGCTACAATCCCTTGATCAACATACCAGAACTCGGTTTTCTTGAAACTCGCCAATATATCCTATTGCAAAAGAAAGTTAGATCTGAAATATATAAAAAAAGGTTTCACTTGAGAGGATCATTGTATAAAAAAGTTGAGTGAGACTCACGAGAAGCATATTGTCTAGTTTACGGAGAGCAGGGAGGTTGATGAAAAGATCAAATCTTGGTCGACAAGTCATGACCTGAAGAAGATCCACAAATTGATTTAATTAAACTCCAGTAAACGCAGTTGCAAGGATTTACAAAAGCAAACACTTACCTCAAACTTTTTGCCGTCTGGATAACTTTGTGTTGAAGGTGTTAACTCAACGATGTGATCACTAACACTAAGAATCCACTCCATTTCCCTTCTCCACATCTCCTTCTTTTCCCTCGAAAGAGGCTCTAATCTCCATAGTTGCCCAAATATCGTAGCTACAACAAGAAACATAAATTTTAACACTTTGGAATATATAGGTTCAAGCATTTTAACAAAAACAAGATAGTCTTTTTAAAACTTACCACAGAGATTGGTGATGGCGTTGGAGATGGCTAAAGCCGTGCACACACCTTTGCCAGAACCTGACATATCCTCACCAAGCAACAACTTTGCAAATCTCTCTTTCATCATATCCACATCTAATTCAAAATCAGAACAACAACAACAACAGAAAACAAGTGAGATCTTAAGTACTTTCTCAACATGAACTCTGAAAAGAGCCGATAAAAAAAAAAGTTTCAATTTTTATGTTTGCACGCTAACCTGCGATAGTCATATCTTTCCCTTTAAAACCCGAATCATCGTGAAGGGTAGGTATAGTATGATCTAACTTAACATTCTCCTTAGAATTCTTTCGAAATGAAGCTTTCCTTATCGGCCAACCGAGAATCTGCGACGGTGGTGGCGGAGAAGACGAAGCGGCAGTGGTGCCGGAGGAGGAGCTCGTACTGCTTCTGTCCTTTGACTCTGTTAATACATCATCTTCCACCGATAGGGTCAAACTGCTTCTTTTCTTCTCGATCCCTGCGCAGCTCTTCACTAAATTCTCCATCTTTCAAAAGAGAACAAAAAATTCAAATTTTGGAAACTGGTTTCTTTAAGATAACACACTAGAAAAAAAAAAAAGGTAAAAGAAGAAGATGGCTTTTGTAAGGGGAAAAGGTAAGAAATTTGAAAAAAAAAAAAAAAGATGGACTGATTTAAAGTTATGCTCTCTGTGTTTCTCTCTTGTTCAGTCACGAGTAGAGAGAGGGAGAGAGAGAGAGATATTTGACTTTTAATTCAAAACATTAAATTTATCTTTTTGGCGGACAAATTTTTCTGGAATGGTGTGGAAGATTACGGTTATGCCCATTGTGTTAAATTAAGGATATTTAGGAAATTACCAGAAAAGGGGTTTGGTGTGTTTATTAATTATGATGAGGCAATAATCAGTTTAATAAATGAGACAAGTGAATTGATTTATTAACTAACAATCTTAAAAAGATACTACTATTGTGGTAAATGTTTATTTTTGAAAATGAAAACAAATAGTAGTAACATCTAAAGAAGTAAAGATTATTAAATGATGTGTAGAGTAGGACAAAGAAAAAAGGAGAGAGGAAACATTCTTCTTGAAGAGTGCCAAAATTAATGTCACATATATAAATATAGGTAAGGCCGCCAATATTTAAGAATTAGGAGTTGAAAGAAAAGGATTAATAAGTGAGATGTAAATGCAAAGCTTATTTTTATTTGTTTGTCAGAACAATAATGCAAAGGGTAAAGTGAGTGGCGTTTTCGTTAATATGGACGTTTCTAGTATGCAAAACAGTAATTCTCATGACTTTGATTCAAACGAATGGTCCCAGTTGATGATGAAATTCGTTTTTATTTATAAAGTTCGTAGCCGTTTTCAGGCCTCTCCTCCTCAAGTAGGCGTTGTACGTAGCTTAATGACTTTAGTATTATTATTATTACTCCTAAGTTATGACTTATGAACATTCTTTGATTTTGAAAATAAGAGTACATCAAAATCATTGTTTGATGTGATCTATTTTGAAATTTTTTGAAAAGAAGAGTACATCTTTTTTTTTTTAAATGTGATCTACACTTATCTCAAAAGCTAGCTAAGATTGCCATATCACATATACATTGCCCAAAAAATATTTACATCTTTGGACAGATATATGCGACTCTAATTTCAAATTATTAACACCATCGACTGAGTTGTGTATATATTGTAATATTACTTTTGCTTTACTAAAGTAACAGTTTTGACTTTTTTGGACACACACAAGTCACGTAATTAGTTTCAAAATGTTTTGTAGTTTCGATTTTAAAGTGGGTATTGATAATTAATGATTTTTCTTTTTTCGTAATTATATATTTTTATTTAATTTACTTGCTCCACGTCGTCCCCGCCTTCTACATTTCAATTTGGTGTTTCAAGCCCTTTGTCCTTCATTTTTTTTGGTTTTTAGTATATTGTCTTAGCTTGGTACACACTTTTTTATTTAGTTGCTGCGTGCTGCTATCTGTTTATGTGTATACCTTTAATAACTTCATGATTTGAAATATATTCTTCTCTTCATCATCAGAATATATATCTCGTGTTAGAGGTTTGAATTCAAAACTAAAACGACCATACCTATACTGTATAGACAAGACTCCTTAATCTTTATAATTAATTTGGATATCTACTTATAGCTCCATGCTTCCTCGACAATGAATCCATTTGTCCTGTCTCTCCTCGTTCCCATCTCCATCTCGGTCCCTAAATTCAAATATCGAGTACGTAAAACTAAAGAAACACATATAACTCTATCTAAATCTGCGGCATAAAATCAAATCAATCTTATTCTTAATACATCAATTTTGTTCTATATAGAGTTAACAACCAAAGATTAATAACTCTGTCTAAATCCGGCATAACAACGATATGAATTTAGTAGAATCACATAAATATGATCCAATGTAAAAAAAAATAGTTTAGCTGAATAAATTTCTACAAAAATAGTCATAAAACGCTATACTGTACATATGGTTTTAGTAGTAGATTCATGACTTCGAATTATATCAACACATCAGTAATTACAATGACATGAATTTGAGGAAAAAATAAAATTAAACCATTCATAACATCCATGTTCTGAATCATGTATGGAGGGAACGTGAAAACGTTAAAGCAATAAAGCATTCATAACATCCATGTTCTGAATCTGATAAATCACGTTTCAAGTCTTTGAAAACGCGAGAAAATTATCACGTTCTTAATAAAAAAAGTTTGGTTGAAAAGGTTGTTGCAAATTTGGCTAGAAACTAATGAATGGGGTTGAAGAATGATGAATAAGAAGAAGAAGAAGAACAAGACAAGTCCAACAACAACACCAAAACATTAATATTATTACAACAACAACCTCAGGATATTCGTCGCTATCCCAAAAGAGAGTAAGAAAAAAAAACACGACAAACACAGCTCGTCTTCTTTATCCAAATCATATTTTTACGATTTTCCAGGAAAATTGAGCTATAAAGAAAGAAATTATCCTGAGAAAATTCTTCTTTTTTTTTTTTTTTGTTTCCTTCCTTTCTTCTAAAGCCTACACGCGGCAATTACACGCCGTAGATCCCAGACTCTCTCTCTCGAATCATCATCTCTCACTTGCTCTCTCTCTCTCTCTCTCTCTTGCATCGTAAGGAAAGGTATATTCTTCTTCTCTCTCTCCTTCCCTCCAATCGTTTGGGAGTACCTTTCCTTATGAACCCCGATCGCAGATTTCTCGATTTTAGGTGTTGATTTTTTTTTATTGGGTTGAGTTGCTTTAGATTCGTTTGAATTTGACCGTCATTGGGTCGCAGTGTGAGACTTTCTTGTGCCACTGGAGATTTAAGCCAATTGTTAAACAAAAGTGGGTTTTTGGATTCACAAAAAAAAATTTGGGTACTTTTCGTTGAGCCCTTTTAGGTAGAGTTGCTGTTGTCGAAGAAAAGTCATAGCTTTTGGGGTTTGGTTTCAAGTAGCTTCAGTTTCGGATTTCGCTTTGACTGGTTAAGGAATATGAGCTTTTTGGCAGGATTTATATAGCTCGTTGTTTTGTTTTATGCTTCCTCGTTTTTGATGAATGATTCGTCTATTGTTATGTATATTCAGGTGTATTATCCAAGAAATTTTTGGGGATCCACAACAAAGACCATTAGAGAAAGCTGTTACTAGTGCTGCGTAACGGCAAACCTGGGTAATTCATGTGGCCTCTTTGTTTCCTGCTTAACAAGCTTCTGAGAGCCGAAGACAGGAATCAGGGGAAATCAGAAGGGCATGGAGATTCGAATTTTCAAAAATACTGCCAATTCGATGATCCGAATGGGAAGTCCAGGGATGCAGGGTTGCCATCCTCTTCCCACATGGAGGTACGACCGGTTGATATTCTTTTTGCCTGTGTCTCTCTACCTTTAGTGGACATAGAAATTAGGAAATCTATATTTGCTGCAACTTATCTTCCTCTTTGTCACGTTGCTGGTCCGTTATCTTGCCATTAGGTCCCTCATGTACATCAGTTAGCTTCATGGGATTGTGGTCTCGCTTGTGTTCTCATGGTTCTCAGAGCAAGCGGCATTGTGAATTGCACTCTTGAGGATTTGGCTGAGATTTGCTCCACAAATAGGTCTGTTTATACATCAATAGATGGTCATCAGCAGAATAATCCATCCCGTTATACATATTATGTGGCCTGACTTCTCTTAAAGATGGTAAGATTTGGTACGATACTTAGCAGTTTTTCATATTTTTGCAGCATTTGGACTGTAGATCTCGCATATCTACTGCAGAAGTTCTGTGTGGAATTTTCCTATTACACAATAACATTTGGAGCAAACCCAAATTATTCCATAGAGGAATTTTACAAGGTATCTAGACTATAGATGGCAAAGACCTCTAAATTCTTGTTTCATAGTTTCCTATGCTGCATATGATGCTGTGTGTTTCATCCTTCGTCGAGAGTGTGGCAGTGAAATGTTGATGTTTTTTTCAAACTTCTGAGCATGCCTGGTTTTTTCTTCTAAGTAGAAAACGATCAAGATGTTTGTTTTTGGCAATGATGATGCAGGAGCAGCTCCCTGAAGATCTGGTGCGTGTTGATTTGCTCTTCAGGAAAGCACATGAATCTGGCATTATTATACAGGTAAATCTGTTTGACCAAACGTGACTACTTGCTCTTGTCTTTAAAGAAAGTCTGTCTGTTTTTTTGCTTGAAATACGTAGCCAATTCTTCTACCTTGAGATGTTACTATGATGTAATATTTTGGTGTAGATTCCCCTTTAAATTGGTGCATTTTTTTAGGATTTTCTGCAGAAAGTCACTGGTTATAAAATTGTCCCTTGTGTAATCTTTTAGTTATTTGGAAATCAAATCTAATCAACCTCTTCGTTTTTGCAGTGCAGATCAGTTAGTATCCATGAGATTTCCTGTTTGTTATTGTCGGGGAACTATATTGCCATTGCTTTAGTCGACCAGGACAAGCTAAGGTCGGTTATCTCTTTTCCCTCATATATCCCTTATAGTTAGATCCCTTCATCAACAAAGTTTGGATGTGTGCAGCTTCTTTCATGTTCTTCACAAAACTTGCTCACTGACATATCTTGGGCCTTTTACCAAGAATATTGTTCTCCCTTGATTAAGTGTTTATGTGCCTTTCTTGTTTCAAGTTTTGTACAAGAAGTATGATAAAGAAGTTGCATAGTGTTCATGCTCGTATTTTACTGTTGCAGCAAGTCTTGGTTGGAGGAAGTGATTGTAGCTGGTCTTCATACCAACAATTCCTGCTACACTGGTGAGAATTGTCCCCTAGCCTTAGACTCTGTTTCTTCTCTTCCAAAACAGGAACCCCCATTTCCACGTCCTCGATTTTATTATGTCGATAATCTCTGTTATAATCATTGGAACTCCGGAACCTTATGAAACTAAGATCAGACAAAAGGATCATTCTTTAACTAACAAAAGTCAATAGCTTAAAATTTCCCGTTCAAACATTAAGACTACATTTTCTAAATTTCTTACACCTATTTGTTTCTAATAGGTCACTATATCGTGATTTGTGGCTATGATGCTGTTAGGGATGACTTCGAGATCAGAGATCCCGCCAGTTCCAAGTAATTTCTTGTTTTATATCTCATTGCTTCAATGCTCACCTATCTGTCCCCTCAATTTCCTGAGATATTATATCTGGTTGACATGTTCATATATTAGCATAAACATTGAATCTGTTTTAATAATGTTTAAAAATGTGTTCCAGGTTAGTATGTTGGTTTATACTGAGATAGTCCATCACATATAGTCTGTTTAGTTTTAAGATGTGAGTTTTCATTACTGTTGAGAAAGAGACCTCTACAAAGCAAGAAAGAACACTAACGCATCATCTTGGAACATGCCAATTGCCATTACTCAATACTAGTAAAATTTCACAGAGAAATTTCTTGCAGGATACATGAGAGGATCTCGTCAAAATGCCTGGAGAATGCCCGGAAATCGTTTGGCACAGACGAAGATCTTCTCCTGGTAATCTAAGGGAACATGAATTGTTGATTTTGGCTTGTGTAGTGTCCCTGTTGTTCATGTATTGTTTTCTTTTATTGGATTCGTGCAGATAAACTTGGAGAATATCAGAAACCAGAACAGTTCTCGTCATCATCGAATCAATTCTGGATCAGAATGAAACCGGAATGTTTTTCTCCCAGAAGAAAGATAAGGTGAAAAGTATACGTCTACATCTTAACATATTGTATATGGATGCTGCCAAAAAGAAGAACGAGATATACATATATGTACATGGATCATGAATCAACTCAGTATAGGCTTAACATTTTTTATCAGATTATTTATTTTTTCTGAGCAGTTGTATTTATACTTCCTTGTACAAATTGGTTTCTCGTGAATGTATAAGATTAAAGATTTGATTGATTCAAGTGTTCGAGTGATTCCCACCCCAATGTGTTGGCCAAGCTTTTCTAATGAGTGGGAAAATAAGCAGAGTAAAATCGAAATCGAACCGAATCCAGTACCGGACTTGATCGCGTCATACCGTGAAATTTGATTACTGAACCGAGTTTAGATTTGGGCCGAACCCAACATGTGTGAGTAAAAGATTCGTTTGTAGATTGGTTCTTCTTTATTTCGATTACTAGTCTAGAACCCTAGAAGTCCCAAAACCCTTTACTACACTTGCAGATCCAGTGAAATCGATGGATGATAGTGTTTTCTCTTCGGTTCACTCTACAGTTTTCAAAGAATCCGAATCGTTGGAAGGGAAGTGTGAGAAAATCCAAGGATACGATTTCAATGAGGGAGTAAATTACCCAAAGCTTCTCAAATCCTTGCGGACCACCGGGTTTCAAGCCTCAAACCTCGGCGAAGCTATTGATGTCGTCAATCAAATGGTTTTCATCCCCTTCGATTCTCGATTTAATTAAAAATAAAGTTTCCTTTTTTTCTCGTTTTGGGTGAATCAGTAACGAAGTGTTTGAATTGTATTGAAGCTAGACTGGAGACTGGCTGATGAAACTACAGTAGCTGAAGACTGTAGTGAAGAGGAGAAAGACCAATCTTACAGAGAGTCTGTGAAATGTAAAATCTTTCTGGGTTTCACTTCGAATCTTGTTTCATCTGGTGTTAGAGATATCATTCGATATCTTGTTCAGCATCATATGGTTGGTGATTACCCTGTTTATAGATGTTAAATTCTCGAGCTTTACTTTGAATAGCTTAGAGTTGTTTGGTTCTAATGCTTTTCTGTAGGTTGATGTTATTGTCACTACAACTGGTGGCGTAGAGGAAGATCTCATCAAATGCCTTGCACCTACATTTAAAGGCGATTTCTCTCTACCTGGAGCTTATCTCCGGTCTAAGGGATTGAACAGGATTGGGAACTTGCTGGTTCCTAATGATAACTACTGCAAGTTTGAGGATTGGATCATTCCCATCTTTAATGAGATGTTGAAGGAACAGAAAGAAGAGGTATTACTCATTCTTTTTCATTCTATATCAAAGAGGAAGATTAGATTTTGCTTTCTCTCTTGCATCATATCTTTGTTGACGAGACCTTCTTTTTCTCTGGTTTTTTCCTTGTAGGATGTGTTGTGGACTCCTTCTAAACTGTTAGCACGCCTGGGAAAAGAAATAAACAATGAGAGTTCATACCTTTATTGGGCATACAAGGTAACAACAAAACTTTTACCCTTCCTAGTATTTCTGCATCTTTTAATTTTTCTGCCTCATTGTGGTGTATAGATGAATATTCCAGTATTCTGCCCGGGGTTAACAGATGGCTCTCTCGGCGACATGCTGTATTTTCACTGCGTTCGTACCTCTGGCCTTGTCATTGATGTAGTGCAAGGTACTTCTTTCACGCAATGAGGCAATTTCAGTGTTTGGTTGTAAGTCTAGTGAAAGAATACTGTAAGTGACAATGTATTGTAGCTTTTCCAGTTTAGTAACAGACGTTGCAGTGAGTTGATAGCTAAAGCTTACTTCGGAAGCTAGGAGAATTAGGGCATTTTGGTTTTGGGTTTTGGTTTGGGGCTGGGTCGAGAGTCAGAGAATTCTCTTGTTTATCAGATTTTATGTAGTCGTTTGGTAAATTGTATAAAGTAGTTTATTGTTTTGAATCTTATCACAGTGTTTCATGCTGGATTGTAAGAAATTCGTTAAATGCTTTATGAACACAGATATCAGAGCTATGAATAGCGAAGCTGTCCATGCAACTCCAAGAAAGACAGGGATGATAATCCTTGGAGGGGGCATACAGAAGCACCACATATGTAATGCCAATATGATGCGTAACGGTGCAGATTACGCCGTATTCATAAACACTGGGCAGGAATTTGATGGTAGCGACTCGGGTGCACGCCCTGATGAAGCCGTGTCTTGGGGTAAAATAAGGGACTCTGCTAAAACCGTTAAGGTCGGATTCAAGCCTGCATCTTATTTCTTCACATCCTAACTAATTTCTCACTCAGTGGTTTTGAGTATATATATGATATTGGATCGTTTCTTGCAGGTGTACTGTGATGCTACCATAGCTTTCCCATTGTTGGTGGCTGAAACATTTGCCACAAAGAGAGAACAAACCCGTGAGGCTAAAGATCTGACTGCCGTTTCGACCTTGGATTCTTAAAGACGTCGCCTTCTGATTTTACTATGGTGAATAGTACCCATAAAACACTCCATATTGATGTGGCTGTGATGCAAATTGTACTTTAGTTTTCTCTTACTTTAGAAATGCTTAAGATTGTCTCTTATATTAAACACACAAGAGTCTTGCCTTTAAACATTATTTTAACAGAGAGAAAAGAAGGACAAAACTTTTATGAAAACAAAGTTTGGAGTATTATTTTGTTTGCAAAACAATAGTCCATCACATAATAATAAGTTAAGATCAAGTTTTATTCCCGAAAAGAAAATTACACTTTTTATTCCAGCAATACCAAACACAAAGGAAGGATTTCTTGAATACACAAACAATTTTGCAACTGAAGAAACAAAACACACACACAAAGAAACAACAGATATATATATATATTTGCTAGAAAGATGATATAAAATCGACCAAATGCTGTAACGATCGATGTGACGAACCTTTTGGTTTAAGTGATCGTCCTACCTTCTCCTTAAGAAGTTTCATCCTCTCCCTGATCGCTTCCCCTTCAGTTTCCGACAGTAATCTCCTTATCGCTCCTTCGATCTCATCCCTCTCAATCAGACCCTCTAGATGAACCCCTACCATCCATACGTCACTAACAAATCTTGCATTTGACAATTGGTCCCATTGAAAAGGCAAACAGATCATAGGGACGCCTTCACATACACTCTCAACCGTCGAGTTCCAACCATTGTGTGTCAAGAATCCTCCAATGGCTCGATGCTTTAGGACTTGTTGTTGCGGGGACCAGTTCACAATCTTTCCCTTCTCATGAAGCATTTCGATGAACTTTTTCGGGATTTTCTCGATCCATTCTGTATCTTGCTCAACCGAACTAAGCCGTACGACCCACAAGAAGGGTTGGTTGCTGTTTCTTAGACCCCAAGCAATCTCCATGAACTCTGTTTCGCCAATGGTCGCTATGCTCCCGAAACTCACGTAAATCACGGATTTGTCTTCTTGCTTGTCTAACCATGGCATGCAAGTATCGTCCACCGTGAACAAGCTACTAGAAGAGCCTGGGAAGTAGCTATGAGAAGGCCCTATCGTAAAGATCGGGATTTGAAAATCTTCACGTGTTTGGCTCAGTGAGTCTTGGTCCAACTCTTCACAGGACACGAATATTAGACCTGACGACGCTTTTGTCGTTTCTAAAATCATAGCTGAGTACGAGTCAAGTACCTCCGTTTCTTGATCAAGAATTCGTCTTAGATCTTTCTTTCGAAGCGGTGGAAAGTCCTGAACTAGATCATCTTGTTCTGAATCTGTAAATACAGTTAAGACTTAAAGAGCCAGTACTAGAGATCCATGTCGGATGTATTCAATTTCATATGACCTTGCATGTAATATTTAACGGATATTGTTACTTTGATAGTTTGATATATATCAAAAACATCATCGGGCCAAAAAGGTCAACACTCAACATTATTGGGAAAAAGTCAACACTCGAAAATTATATAAGACAGCTTTGGTAAAGTGAGAAGTAAATAATACCTTGTATATGAAGATACATTTCATCACGTCGGAGCTGAGGAAGAACAAAATGATTCCGAAAGAAGGAGACATTATAGGTAGTAAGGACCAATCTCGGGAGATTCAAACTCTGAGCTATGGGTTGTGTGAAGATCCATCCAGAATCATCAATCAAACAGCTAATCTTCTCTTTCTTTTCCCCTGTATCTGAGTCTGCGGATTGCAAAAGTTTGGTCAAACAGTGACGAAACGGAGACTCGCAGCTTCGGTTGAGAAGCGTTAAGAGGAGTGTGACATCTTGAGTTCTTGTCTCTGTTTCAGACAAGCCATCTTGGATCTGTAAGAAGGTGAAGAGAGGGTGGTTTGAAGCTTTTGGAGCATTGAAGCGCGTGTGGATCACAGTGATGGAGAAACCTCTTGAGTGGAGGATCTTGGCGAGCTGAATCATGGGGTTGATGCAACCTTGTATGGAAAGTGGAAACAGAATCACTCGTAAACCATTACTCTTATCCATTTTGACCTTGTATCCCCAAATGCTGCTGATCTCCTGATATTTCAGTGAATGCTGTTATTATTTCCCTTTTCATAAACACAGATATATATCTATATATAACACATAAAAAGTCATGCACGTCGAGAATGAGACAAAACTATACTCTTCTTGATGTAGCAAATAAAGAAAGACCAGATTCCTTTTTGGTTGTTACATAGTTTTATTTGCTGAAAACGTGCCCTGATAGTATAGTGGTAATTTAAATAGTCTACTTTTTGGTTGTTGCATAATATTTCAACCGCCCATAAGATTTTTTTTAATACCTTATAAAAAAATTATGTTTCGTTTCTTTTAAAAATGGTTACATTATATATGTCCCAATGTGCAAACAACGGATCATGTCAAAGCAATGTTTTAAAATCTGAATCGAAGGAAGAACCGTAAAATTATTTCCAAGTTCCAACTACGATATACCAGATCGTTCTGGTCCATCAATATGTATTTATTTACAAAAGTCAATGTAATAAAAGTGATATATATGTTTATATTCCGAGTTAAGAAGACGTTTTAATTCCAAAGATGTCAAACACGAAAGAAAAAGAAAGAAAAAAATTCTCATACACGAAGTCACAAACAATTTTATCGGTTGCAAAATTAAAGACACAAAGAAATTAAACGCAACACGTAAATGACTAGAAAGATGATATATGATCAATCAAATTTTGTAAAGATTGATTTGCCGAACCGTTTTGCTCAAACGATCTTCCTACTTTTTCCTTAAGAAGTTGTATCCTCTCTCGGATGTCTTCTCCTTCAGTTTCCAACATTAATCTCCTTATCGCTACCTCGATCTCTTTCCTCTCAACCCGACCCTCTAGGTTTATCCCGACCATCCATACGTCGCTAACAAATCTTGCATTTAGCATTTGGTCCCAACGGAAAGGCAAACAGATCATAGGGACGGCTTCACAGACACTCTCAACGGTCGAGCTCCAACCATTATGAGTCATGAATCCCCCAATGGCTCCATGCTTTAGAACGTCTTGCTGCGGAGCCCATTTCACTATCTTTCCCTTCTCGTTAATCCTTTCGATGACCTCTTCAGGAATTGTCTCGACCCATTCTGTGCCACGGACTGAGCCAGCCCGTACGACCAACAAAAAGGGTTGGTCGCTGTTTCTTAGACCCCAAACAACCTCCATTAACTCTGATTCTCTGATGGTCACTAAGCTCCCAAAACTCACGTAAACGACGGATTTGTCTTCTTGTTTGTCTAACCATGGGATGCAAGTCTCGTCCGGTGTAGACAAGCTACTAGACGAGGCTGGAAAGTGGCTGTGAGAAGGGCCAATGGCAAAGATCGGAATCTCAAACTCTTCACGTGCCTGACTCAGTGAGTCTTGGTCCAGCTCTTCACATGACATGAATATAAGGCCTGAAGACGCCTTTGTCATTTTCAAAACCTTGTCCAAGAATGGATCTAGTATCTCCGTTTCTACATCAAGAATCCGTAAAATATCCTTCTTTCGAAGTGGCGGGAACTCCTCAACTAGATCATCCTGTTCTGAATCTGTGAGACAAAATTCAGATCAGTGAGTTGGATGGTCGTCTATTACCGAATATGTAGGAAAGATAATATTCTATACCTAACATCTCAAACTTCCCCAAACCAAATCGCTCAGGTATTAAAAGAAATGAATAAGCAAGTGTGCAGGTGTACAATATAGACAGTAAAATGAGATATAACAATACCTTGCAGCTGAAGATAGCCTTCACGTTGGAGTTTAGGAAGAACAAATTGGCTGCGATAGAAGGAGACTGTAAACACACTGAGGAACAATCTCGGGAGTTTCAAACTCTGAGCAAGGGGTTGTGTGAACATCCATCCAGAATCATCGATCAAACAGCTAATCCTCTGTTTCTCGTCCCCTGTTTCTGAATCTAGAGGTTCCAACAGTTTAGTCAAACAGTCACGGAACGGAGACTCACAGTTTCGGTTGAGTTTCGTTATGAGAAGCTTGGTATGGATAGTTCTTTCCTCTGTTTCGGACAAGCCATCTGGTATCTCTATGAAGGTGAAGTGAGGATGGCTCGAAGCTTTCGGCGCGTTGAAACGCGTGTGGATCACAGTGATGGAGAAACCTCTTGAGTGGAGGATCTTGGCGAGCTGAATCATGGGGTTGATGCATCCTTGTAAAGGAAGTGGAAACAGAATCACTCGCAGGCCCTTACTCTTCTCCATTGAAGCTTTCTCCCTTTTTCTTATTTCTCGATCCAATAATGCAAAAAAATCTGAGTGACCCTAAAAGGCTAAAACTCCACGCTTCTCTATGTAAATTATTTAAAAAGAAAGAAAAGATCAGCTCTTTTTACTCAGCTTCACAGCTAACAAACAAAGCACCATAATTGATAATACCATATGCCTAATGGTCTATAACTCCAAGTTGCATTGTAAATATACACAAATAAATAGTTTGTTTTTATCATTTGAATGAACTGTAAGAATATCTCAAATCAAAAACCATCTTTTATATGCATCTTTTAGTAGAACTTCTGAATAGAGGAAAAAACAACCAAACATTTAAGTTTTTTACCTAAACAATTGTGGTGTGCCTTGCCTAATAGGCCTAATACCTAGAAAACAAACACATTATAAAGAACAACTTACAAAAGCGGCAAAAACAGATACATCCAAGCGTATTATTCGTTCACAATAAATTGTAAAGCGGGTACAATTGATTCAGTTGACAGAACTAGGATGATAATATACGATCAACCAGCTCATCTAAAGATCGAGATGACGAGCCTCCTTGTTTAACCGATCTTCTTACTTCATCTCGCAATACGTTGATTCTATCTCGAATCTCCTCTCCTTCCGACTCAACCATTAGCCTTGTCACAGCTCTCTCGATTTCTCTTCTTTCTATCCGGCCTTCCAAGTGAATCCCAATCCTCCAAACTTCGCTTATGAATCTGGCGTTAAGCATTTGGTCCCATACAAAAGGCAAGCAGATCATAGGTACTCCTTCGCATATACTCTCTAGCGTCGAGTTCCATCCATTGTGAGTCAAAAACCCTCCCGTGGCTCTATGCGCAAGAACATCTAGCTGTGGCGCCCATTTCACTACCTTTCCTTTACCTTCGAGACTTTCCATGAACCCTGATGGTAACGATTCGATCCAGTCTCTCCCATGGACTGAACCAGGCCGGACAACCCACAAGAAGGATTGGTTGGTGTTTCTTAGTCCACAAGCAATTTCCAAGAAGTCAGACTCGCTAAGACTCGCAATGCTCCCTAAGCTCACGTAGATTACTGATCTCGTTTCGCGCTCATTTAACCATGGAATGCAACTCTGGTCCGGTTCGTACAAGCTACTGGACGAGGCTGGGACGTCATGGATGTGAAATGGGCCAATGGGGAATATCGGAAAGCTGAAGACCTTGTGGGACTCAGCAAGTGAATCTTGGTCAAGCTCTTCGCAGGACAAGACTATGAGCCCTGAAGCTGGCTTAGTCGTTTCTAGTATCTTATGCAAGTAAGAATCGAGAGGCTTACTCTGAGCGATGGTTCCCATAATTCGCGAAAGATCTTTCTTTCGAAGCGGTGGAAACACCGTAACTACATCCTCTGCTTCGGAATCTGAAACAAACCTACTAAAATTTCAAGAAATACAGACAAAAACTTTCCCTTTCGAATCTTTGACTGATTTCTCAAGTCTCTTAAAACTGTCTCCTTGATGACTCAATTACCAATAAAAACAATGATTCTATTATGAGTCCCGAAGCCGTACCTAGTACTGGGAGAAACCCTTCACGACGAAACTGAGGAACACGCAAGTGTCCGAGAAAGAAAGAGAATTTATAAGCACAGAGGACATATCTCGGAAGATTGAAACTCTCCGCCACGGATTGTGTGAAAACCCACCCAGAATCATCGATCAAACAGCTAATTCTCTTTTCCTCTGTTTCTGAATCTGAACCAGGTTTGATGAGTTTAGCCAAACACTCTCGAAACGGGTTCTCACAATTGTTGTTAAGAAGCGTGAGCTGAAGCAAAACATCACGAGATTGGGTCTGTGCTTCGGATAAGCCGTCGGGGATCTGTAAGAAAGTGAAGAGAGGATGGTCTGAAGATTTGGGCGCGTTGAAGCGCGTGTGGATGATGGTGATTGAGAAGCCTTTTGCAAAAAGGATCTTTGCTAGCTGAAGCATAGGGTTTATGCAACCCTGTAATGGTAGAGGAAACAGAATCACTTGTATCTCGTTTCTCTTCTCCATTCAAGATTCTTCCTTCTTTTCTCTCTCTGCAATTTGATTATCTCTATAGAAAGCAAAACTATGACGACAACGTTTTTGGAGAGTGGAGACTATACAATAAGACAGCCACTGGCCTACCACTACCAAACACATTATAAGTGACAAGTGTACATGATTACGACACTAAATGTTTTTTTTTACTTCTTTCGTGATAAATGATAACAAAAGTTATTTTCTTTATGCGTTTAAAAAAACGTTGAGGTATCTTGAGCAAAAATATTCCCAACTTACAACGATAGTAAATAATTAGATAGAGTCTCTATCGATCGAAAAGACGAGCCTCCATGTTTAACCGATCTCTCGACCTCGTCTTTCAAAACCTTCATCCTCTCACGAATCTTTTCTCCTTCACTTTCCACCATTAACATTCTCACAGCTTTCTCAATCTCCTTTTTTTCAATCCGACCTTCCAAGTGAACTCCGACCTTCCAAATATCGCTCACGAATCTTGAATTCAGCATTTGATCCCAACCTCCAGGCAAACAGATCATAGGAACCCCTTCGCATATACTCTCAAGCGTCGAGTTCCAACCATTGTGTGTTAAAAACCCTCCAACGGCTCGATGCGCAAGAACCTCCTGTTGTGGCGCCCATTTCACTATTTTCCCTTTCTCTTCAAGGCTTCTCACGAGCCCTTCAGAGAGCGGTTCGATCCACTTCGCGCCGAGTACCAAACCAGGCCGTATCACCCACAAGAAAGGCTGTTTGCTGTTGCTTAAACCACAAGCAATCTCCAAGAACTCTGTTTCCGTAATGTTCACAACGCTTCCCAGGCTCACGTAGATCACGGATTTGTCCTCTTGACTATCTAACCAAGGGATGCAAGTTTCGTCTTGTGTGAACAAGCTGCTTGACGCAGCAGAGAAATAGCTATGAAACGGACCAATCGCAAAGATCGGAACTCTAAAAATCTCGTTAGAGAGAGTCAAGGAATCTTTCTCAAGCTCCTCGCATGACATGTATATTATCCCTGAAGAATTCATAGTCGTCTCGACCACAACAAGTAAGAACGGATCGAGTTTCTCTCCAAATTCCCCGAAAATCTTTGAAAGATCTCTCTTTTGAAGCGGCGGGAACTCAGGAACAGAGTCCTCTGCTTCCGAATCTAAGACAGACACAAAGGCTCAAACCAATCTTATAATTTTGATTACCACAATTTAAAATAGATTATTCAAAGTAAATAACATATTCTTATTTCTACAGTAGCTATTAGTTTACGTAACGTAGTTTTGAAACAAATAATTGATGTTAGTATATTTTCTTGACGCAACGCTATTTAATTGAGAAACAACGTCACTTTTTACTCCATAACACGTTTTTTCCCTTTTCTTAAAACAAAAATAAAATAAAATATTATAGTTTATTTTCATTGGATTACACATAAATAAAACTGGGGGAGTACAATTTTAGTCAAAAAGTAAGCAATTATTTACGGAAAAAAGTAAGCATTTCTACCCAAATTATTTGCCCTTTTCATATATGTAGATCAAATTGACCCCAAAAAATGAAAAATAAAAATAAAGATATTCAAGAAGAATTTACCTGGAAGTGGAATATAGCCTTTGGCTCGGATAAGTGGAAGCGTTGGATAAGCATTGAAGAAAGTGGCTTTGAAAGTACAGAGAACCATCCTCGGAAGTTTCAAACTCTCTGAAACAGTTTGCGTGAAGAGCCATCCACAATCATCTATCAAACAGCTAACCTTCTCTGACGAATCTTTAGACTCAAGCAGCACCTTGTTCAAGCAATCAAGAAACGGAGACTCAGCGCTGAGGTTGATTTGCGCGAGGAGAGACATAACGTTCGAGGTAGGAGCGTCTCTAATCTCAGCATCGGACAAGCCATCTTGAATCTGCAAGAAAGTGAAGAGAGGATGACTCGAAGCTCGAGGCGCGTTGAAGCGCGTGTGGATGACAGTGATGGAGAAGCCTCTGGAGTGAAGGATGTTGGCGAGCTGAAGCATAGGGTTTATGCAGCCTTGTAATGGAAGAGGGAAGAGAACCACTCGCAGACCTTTTCTCTTCTCCTCCTCCATTGAAATTGAGAAAATAGCTCTGTTTCTTTCTTTCTTTCTTTCTTTTTTTTTCTTCTTTGGGTTGTTGTGAGAAAAGATCGAAGTTCTATGTACTTTATCCAATCGTTTGTTTATTCTCAGATATGGAGAATCTATAATGCAGACAATTGCTTTTATGGCTCTATGTGTGTGTGTGTGTGTTTGGTTTTAAAGCCCATTCAACTTTCCACCGGTTTTGTTGACGTTTCTGATTTTAATACTAGTCTCAGTCTCTTGTGTGGTCACTATCAGAGATATTGAGTTTTTAAATAAAAAAACTTTAAAGTTGGATTTTAAAACTAAATACATCATTGTTAAGTTGAAGATAACGTCGACATAAACAAGTGTTTAGGTATATTAACATCGTCCTCGTCATCATCTTGAATTATTTGTGTACTAGTGTTTGAGAAAATAGGAGTACAAACTTTTAACCATGTCAAAAAAAAAATGGGCTAGAGCACAAATTTGGGCGACCCAAAATAACAATACCACAGTAGTCTTTTTATTTCTAAAGATCCTTCAAGTCAATTTTTCTTCTTCTTCTTTTTATTCTAACTAGGGCTGTCAGCCCGTGCGGCAAATGAAAACTTAAATTAATTAACATTGTTAAATAATTTTTTCGAGTAGAAGATTGATTATAATCTTCCAATTGTATATATATATTTTTTTTTTTTTAATTTACAAATTTATTTTCTTTACCTTTTCTATATTATGATATATTAGATTTGTGAGACTGAGAAAACTTTCTTACAATTATATCTTTATCTTTCAAATAATATTTTTCTTTTGGTATCGCTGCATTTTAATAATGATGATCCTAGAGAGTCAAAAGAATTCAATATTTATGAATGAACATTTTTTACTCTTAACGTGCCCATTCTTTTTCTTTATTTAAAAAACAAAGCTGTCAACGCAATTATGAAATGAACTTCTAGGTACTGCCCTTATAAGAATATCAAAGATTCATGCATTTTCCTTTTACAAAATCTAAGAAACTTTTTGGATACAAAGCTCAACTATTTCTATCATAATACATGTTTCAATCCCAAACGAATCATTAGTCCCATAAAACTAATGAGACAACTCTATAAATTCAACCAAATTCAACATAACATTGTAGGAACATAAGCAATACCTAAAGAAACATCAATGAGAAAGAATATGCTTTAATTTAAGAAAAAAAAGTTTTAACAATGACAAATTATTGTCAATTAGATTTAAAAAAACATATATTTGGTGTTTTGGTGGGCATCTACAGATGGCACGACTTTTCATAAGACAAAGATCAACATGAAACAACTTCTTCTTCTTGTATGCTTATGTTATATCAATCTTATGCTTTTATCAAAACATGAGCTATAAATTTAAGGGTGATCTTGCTGCAAATTACATTTCACAAATCACAATATATATTAGAATCATATCCAATTGTATCTACATATAGAATTCAACTATAAATACCAACGAATATTGTTGTATCAAAACACCAACCTATAATTAATAATAATAAATAAATAAATAAAACACAACAATTATAAACAATGATTTGTAACTGATTCTTGTAGAAATTTAGAAGTATAATTAAACAATAAAAATTTAGTGAAGTCACTAATCAAACAATAAAAAAGGGAGTAGAAATTATAAGTTTAAAGGCTTATCAAAATATAAAATAAAATGAGGAAGATCAAACAAAACAAAGCAGATGATGTTTGAGTGTAAATCTATGGCCATGTTACTACATTTTATATGAGTTTTATACTTTTCTGAAGTTAAATTAATGAATTAATAATTTTGTTGCAAATACAGAAATCGATTTAGTGACAATAAGAGAATAATGTTAACAAGATATATGAAAGGTATTCACATAAAGCAAATTCAAATCATTATTCTATTGAAATTTACAAAAAGGTAATAAGAAAAGTAGGCTGATAGTCAAAATTAATTACCTAGATCAATACATCGAATATATGATCAATACATTTATAAGATAGAAAACGACACCAAACAAAGGTTGGATAAGGAAATCAATAAATAAATCAGCCATATTTAAACAAAGACTAATAAATCGAAAAATCAATATTCAGATTTTTTAAATTTCGGAGGTGTGAAACAATACTCAGAGAAACAAAACCTATTTTCTAGGTCCACAGAATTCTATATATACAAACAAAGAGGTGTGAAAATAAATAGGTGTGAAAAAATAGCACGTGCGAAAATTTTAAGCTAGGGGTACGATGAATAAACACAATTGTTGGGTATAAAACTTTGCAACTTTTGGGATCATTAACAAATGTAAACAATTAGATGACATAACGGAAACAATCTCATCCATTAGATTAAAACGATGATCTCAATAACATAGAAAGTGGGTTTGAGCAACTAATTAGCGAAGAGATAATAACAATTAATACATTTAGATGATAATGGCTAAGCAAATTTAAAGTCAAGTAGGATTGGAAAAAAAAAATTTGAAGAAAAAATTGTTTCAGGAAAATAACTTTGTAAATGAAATAAAACAAAACAATCAATAGTTTTTTTAATAAAAACAAAGAGTTGTAGAATCTATATATATAAAGTTACCTTTCCTCTCTTCTCCTTCCGCCACGTCAGCGCCACATCATCCACCACATCATCATTTTTATTTTTACTAAATCCAAAAAAATATGGGCTTGAGGTCCAACACTTTCACAACAATCAAAATACAAAATCTAAAAAAGCATGTACCTGAGGTCCAACACATAACAATCAAACCGATAAAAAATTAGAAAAATATGGGATACACGAGTTTGGAACTGGATGATTAAACGGAACAGGGAAAACATTTTCTAGAACCATCGTTTAGAAGAGCAACACATCTGCAACAACGATACCGATTTCAAAATCATTGACCGGAATACTTAGTAAAAAGAGAGAATACCGCATAAACTTTCCATCGACCTCTGACGAATAATAAACGACGATAAATATTTCAAATACTAAATTACTATAAAATTGAAAAAATAATCGATAAGAAAAATAGAATAACAATACATAACAACAGTAAAAAGCCAACAAAACAAACAATGCAAAACAAAAAAACAACGAAAAATTAGAATATAACTAAAACAAAACAAAAATTTTATAAATCTCCCGCGCGCAGCGCGGGTCAACAACTAGTATTTATATATGAAACGAAAGGGTGTAACTGTGAAACATTGCATTGATTAAATTACATGGGTTTTTCACATCTTTTTAAAAAGACACATTTAAAAGACACATCCTTTTAAAAAGACACATTTTTGGCTTTTATATATTATGAGATTAAACAGTAACCTTTAGATCAAATGAAACAATCAAAACCGTTATATTCAAAAGATGACATCAGTAGTAAACAAAAAGTGGGTTTGCTATTATATATAGATACTTTTAAGTGAACCAATTAATTTATTTTTTCCTCTATAGAATGAATTTTATGTTCCTTTTATTCTCGTTTATGTAGGAAAAACATTGACACTTGTGTTAATTAGTACAAATCCACGTGTAATTGTGGATCTTTGACTGAGCAATAGAGAGAGAGAGAAATGCAAAATAGCAAATAGTTGGGAAAGAAACGAGAGACAGAGGATAATAATCACATCTTCTTCTTCTTCTTCTTCTTCGTCTTGGACAATTTTCCAAAACTATTGTCACATATCATCTCTCAAGCTCTCTCAACAACAATGGCGACGGAGCTCAACCCTAAGAATTTCCCTGTTCTCTCTTACGTCTTGGATCGTCTCCCTTCCTTCTCCGCCAAATCCTCTTCCGATGTCGACCGATCATCTTCTTCCTCCAAGTCCGATCCCTCTTCTTCTTCATCTTCGTCGAGCCACTCCATCGAGATCGTGACTCAGATGCCTCACTTGGCTCATCCCGATGTTCTTGCCTCCATGACTAACGCTATAGCCGACGTCGCTCAGACCCGATCCGTTCTCCGAACCCTAGGACCTAGACCCGATCACGAAACCGTCGACAAAGCTCGTGCCAGGCTCGTCGAGATCGACGCCTCTTTATCTGAATCCTTCGAGGAGATCGCTCTCTCTCCGAACGATATTGACGTGGCGGAGAAGGAACAGAAGAGGAGGGAAGCTGTTGAACAAGAGAAGACTTGGTATAACTCCATCTTAAAGCTCAACGAGCTTCACCAATCGTACGAGAAGCTTTTGAAAGAAGCAGAGGAGAGGCTCGTGAGGATCTACGAGTCCGCCGAGAAGAATGCTGCCGCGGTGGCTGAGGAGGAAGCTGCCGAGGTTGAAGTCAATGAAGAGGTGGTGAGTATATTGCAGCAAGCTTCTGAGAATCCATTGGACCTTGTTGATCTGTCTGGTCGGAAACTGAAAATTCTCCCTGAAGCATTTGGAAAGATTCAAGGTCTCCTCGTTCTTAATCTTTATAACAATCAGCTTGAGGTCAGTTTCTAAATCCTAAATAGACAAATTCTTAATCTTTTATCAAACCTGTTAGAATTCTTGATATATTATTGTTATGTGTCAAAGATGTAAACACTTTGCCCTGGATTTTGAGTCTTTAGTGTAAATTCTTAACTCTATGAAATCGGATCGGTTGGTTCTTATGGTGACGTCTGGTTTAACATAGATTCAAAATTGTGTGTTTGCTTGATAAAGATGTAAACTTTGCTCTAGGTTTTGCATTTTGAGTCTTTTTGGTGCAAACATATAGGTAGAAATTCTTATTAGGCATTGGAACTGGATCGGTTCTTGTGGGTGATGTTAGATTGAGATATATTTAAAAGTGAATGTTGCTCGTCTTGATGAAAAAATGTTATGTTCGTAACAGGCCATTCCTGATTCAATAGCCGGGTTGCAAAACCTTCTTGAACTCGATGTTTCCACGAACTTTCTGCAGATATTACCCGACTCGATCGGTTTATTGTCTAAACTGAAGATTTTGAATGTCTCTTGTAACAAACTCACAACATTACCAGATTCCATATGCCATTGCGGGTAAGTCTCCTAAGTTTGATTACTCTTCCTCTGTTTTATTATGCACTCTGTTGTTTTCTTACTTCTGTTGTCGAATTTCAGATCGTTGGTTGTCTTGGATGCGAGCTACAACAATCTTACCTACTTACCAACAAACATTGGATTTGAGCTAGTGAAACTAGAGAAGCTCCTGATCCATCTCAACAAAATTAGATCATTACCAACTTCTGTTGGTGAAATGAGATCCTTACGCTACCTCGATGCGCACTTTAATGAGCTCAACGGTCTTCCAAATTCTTTCGGGATGCTGATAAACCTTGAGTACCTTAACTTGAGCAGTAACTTCAGCGATCTCCAAGATCTCCCTGCTTCATTCGGCGACCTCATAAGCCTCCAAGAACTGGACTTGAGTAACAACCAGATCCATTCTCTTCCAGACGCTTTTGGCACGCTCGTGAACTTGACCAAACTGAACTTGGACCAGAACCCGCTTGTGATCCCACCTCAGGAGGTCGTGACACAAGGTGTGGATGCGGTTAAAATGTATATGGGGAAGAGATGGGTTAGTATGTTGGAAGAGGAAGAGAAGATGGCCAATCTGAAGGATGAGATGGATCAGACAAACACCGATTGGCTCACTCGAACCACCTCGAAGCTCAAAACGTATGTTACCGAGGTTTCGGATTATCTTGGCTCGAATTCGCCTAAAGATCCTTACCTTGACCAGCAGTTATGAATTTTGGCTTTGAGCTTCATTAAAAAATTTCTTGATGATGTCTGAAGAAATAGTTTCCAAGAAGCTCCTCTTCAGTTTTGAATTTTCTTTCCCCTGCTGCACTGTTTAGTATATAGATCTTTACATTTGTTTTCTGATTTTAATGTTATCGTTATAATACTTCTCATAACATTTCATTTATTTGGTAACTAAATTGGTAAATTTTCCTTTTTTAATGTATGTTTTTCAACAATTTTGAGCAATGGAAACAGAAGTAATTTCTTTTTATTAAGCTGATAATGTGTGGAGCTACATTACAACTGATATATAAAAGTTGTAGTAACAATTTAGAAAGGACTTTAAATATTTTATGGTATTTAAGAAAAAAAAAAGTTCAAAACCTGTAGTTTCACTATCACCATAACTTATTTTTCTTTCTATCTGGACTGCGAGAGAATCAAATTACAAAGCTAAAAATTTATATAATCATGTTAGGCTATCGAATGGTTGAAAACGACGGATTCAATCAAAATTTTAATACTAGACTCAACAGTACTATCAAATAAAATTAAATAGATTTATATACGGTGCAAAACAAAAAAAAAATGCTTATCGTAGACAACAACAAGATCAATTGTATTTAATTTTATATTCCGAAAAGGAAAAAAAAAAGAAAAAAGAAAAAGAAACACAGAAATTCATATTAATACTGATTCATATGAACGTGCAATACACATAGGTTTTTTGTCCCAAAAAAAAAAAAAGAAAAAAAGAAAAATCGCTTCCTTATATAAATAAAACGGTCTAGACAAATAATATTTGCAAGTCCAATACAAAGATTTTAAAACTATATACAAATATACAATCAATTTAGCTTTGTAGTCAAATAAAATATGAAAATTTGGGGTCCCGTAATATTTAGATGAAAAGATTTCTACATTGAATATGGAGTTACATATACACCAGAATGTTCCTATTTAGTATTTTTAGTCGTAAATATAAAATTCGGTTCACATATAACACGACTCCCCGCTCTACATGCCACTAATTGATAATCAAGAGACTCAAGAGTCAAGAAGACTGATTAAGACATACAAAGTATAGATATAGAACTTGATGCACTCGTGTAGTCGTGTATTACTTTTTATATCGAATACTATTTTCGAAAGTTAAAAAAAAAAACTTATCATATAATAATATATCTATGGATTGTATAATTTGATTACGAGTTTAGGAAACGGATGTCACGAAACTGCCAAACTAAGCCAGTATATTAATCTATTCTATTCATAATCGTTTTTTTATATTCTAAAATCTTATGTTCCGATCTTTAAAAGACACCATCTACGGAAGAAAATCTTGTTAGAAATTTATCGTAAAGTTAATGTCTGCTAATATTTATAGAATGGTACTTATCAAACAAATAGGTCAATACTCTGCTTCTAATAAACTTGATGCACGATTATTTGGTTAAAATGAAGTATATAATAAACAGCAATACGACACTTAAGTCATATTCGATTCGGTTAGAGGTTGATATGGTCATAATATTTGTTAGCAATTAAAAAGATTTGCGCATATATATAAATCTTGATCCCATGTCTTGTGTAAATACATAAACAAGACGTAAGCAGAGTGTGAGAAAGAGAGAGCGTGCAGACACGACAAAACAAAAGGCCTCCCCACGTTCCGGTCGGTTGGTGACAACGACGAATGTTTCTTTCTTCCTTTTCAATCTCTTTTAAGTTTTCATCATATCCAATCTTCCCACAGATAGCCTCTCTCTCTCTTTCTCTGTCTCTTCTTCACTCAACTAATTAGCGTTTCTCCTTTCAATAATTTCTTTTTTTTGGGTGTGTTGGTGCTGATATGAGGAAACTATGTCCAAATTACAACCTGGAAGACGGGTTAGAAACCGTCCTGGAGGTTCCAATGCCTGAGGAGTTGTTTGCTGCGTCCAAGACAAAACCGGGATGGAACCAAATGAAGTCTTACTGGTCAAAACCCACCGCCACTGCAACCGGAACCGCCACAGCCACAAACATGACAAGACTCTTTGGTGGTCGCAACGCAGAGATCCAGCTCCTTCTTGGAGTCGTTGGAGCTCCTTTGATCCCTCTCCCCGTTCAGCCTGACCACCATAACGACTACGAGAATCCCATCCACAAAGACATTAAAGATCAACCTCTCGTACGTACCCTCTTCTCTTGCATCGGTCAAAACCAATTAACAATGAGTGGTCTGGAGTGTTTTATACTAGCTAGATTAAGTTGCATTTGCTTTTGCTAAACGAGAGCACATCTACTACTGTTTTTTAAAAAAGGTTGTACAATAAATATTTGACAAAAAAGAAAACTAGACGAATGTATACTTTTAGTGAAAAGTTTATACATGTAACACGTAGGGAGATTTCATTTTTATAAAAATTGCAATACATAGATCGTTTCTTTTTGTTAAAAAAATACGGATTCATGAATATACAAGAGAATGTTATTTTGACTTTTGTATTGGAAATATGCAGGAGATGTCAATGGCGCAATACATAGTGAAGCAATACATAGCGGCCGTAGGAGGCGATAGGGCGTTAAACGCGGTGGAGAGCATGTACGCGATGGGAAAGGTGAGGATGACAGCATCAGAGTTCTGTACAGGAGAAGGAAGCTTGAACAGCAAGATGGTGAAGGCAAGGAGTATAAAGAGCGGAGGGGGAGAAGTGGGAGGCTTTGTGTTGTGGCAGAAGGGGATAGAGTTATGGTGTCTAGAGCTTGTCGTCTCAGGCTGCAAAATCAGTGCCGGTAGTGACGCCAAAGTCGCTTGGAGACAAACTCCATGGCATCCTTCTCATGCCTCTCGTGGTCCTCCTAGACCATTGCGCCGTTTCCTCCAGGTAATCCCTTTTTTAATATATAGTTAATTAATTATTTCGTTATTTCTTTCCAAGAATCATAGCTAGTTTTTAAGTGAAACCAATGTCATTTTCATTTTCTATAGAATATTCAAATATTTAGCCAAATAGTTTATCCTCTTATTTGCAAACACTGGTAAAAAAATATAAAATTTTTAAAACATTATATAAAGAATTTTATTTATTATGTTTCTGCGGAAAAACTAGGGGTTTTTACCCGGGGAATAATATTATTTGGAAAAACGATTAGGATAGTTTTCTTGTGGTACTTAAGCTACGTTTCAAGTCTCTACTTGATTCATGAAAAGACAAAGATCCTTTATGTTTCATAAAGCATATGCATCCACTGATCATTATGACATTGAAAGAGTTTCTTCCACTTGGAGTTCAATGATACGTTAATTTCTTCTTATACTCCATCCTGATTTATATGATTCTTAGTTGTTAAAGTTTACTTTTCCTTGATTGCTGGCAAGAAAAAGATCTTTCAATCATCAAACTTCCTCTTTTGTTTTTTTTTCTTTTCCACAATTAAAAAGATTTGTCTAGCTAACCTACCTTCAACCTTGTCAAATGACAGAATTGGTCATCTTTTGATTTGGAAATTTGAACAACTAATAATACTACTACTACACATTAAAAATGCCGGAGAGAGTAATTAACTTATGTTATGTAAAAGTATACAAGAGAAGGAACCATAGACCCATAGTTTCCATCATCCTATAATGTTATTGCCTAAGAAAATTTGGTATAATCTTATGAATTTTGATATTTGATGTGACCATCAATAAAGTGCGACGTGTCCATTTTTGCTCTTATAAATCTCATTTCAACGTAAAGAAGATGCATGCTTATAAGTTTACCAAGGTTGTTGGAACTTGAAAGTTGGAACCATCTATGTGGTCCACCACTAACAACAACCACTTAATAGATTATCTTCTCCAAATATTTGTTAACAAAGTAGACTTTTGTTCCCATTACCAAGTATAGTTTTTACGACCTAATAAGATCTTCTTTTTTTAATGTAACCAAAACAATCTCTCATGACTTACGACAAAAGTTTCTGACTTAAAATCTCTCATGCAAAAAAATTAACAGGGTCTTGATCCAAAATCAACGGCTAATCTGTTCGCAAGATCTGTATGCATGGGAGAGAAGAAGATAAATGAGGAAGACTGTTTCATACTCAAACTAGACGCAGAGCCATCGGCGCTTAAGGCGAGAAGCAGCAGCAATGTAGAGATCATACGGCACACTGTGTGGGGATGTTTCAGCCAGAGAACAGGTCTTCTGATTCAGCTCGAAGACTCTCACCTTCTTAGAATCAAAGCTCAAGATGAAAACAGCATCTTCTGGGAGACAACAATGGAGTCTCTGATCCAAGACTACAGGACCATTGATGGTATCCAAGTAGCACACGCTGGTAGAAGCTCGGTTTCTCTGTTTCGGTTTGGTGAGAACTCGGATAACCACTCGAGGACTCGGATGGAAGAGACTTGGGAGATTGAGGAAATGGATTTTAACATCAAGGGTCTGTCTATGGATTGCTTCTTACCGCCTTCTGATCTCAAGAAGGATGATGACGAAGAAGAAGAAGTCGAATGTGGTTTAGCTGCTAACAATGAGAAGCTGCCTATGAAGATTCGGAGCGCTTCTTTGAGGATTAGTTCCTCTAAGATCCTAGCAATCGTCGAAGAAGAGGAAGATGAATCAGAGGTCACTGAAGAGACATAAAAGCGTGGCCCGAGTTTTCGGTTTTTGTACATAATTTAATCTATTGCAACATCATCGAAACAGAGGATATTGTTCTATTTTTGGTTTTTTGGGTTCCTCTGTAAATCACTGAACTCTTGGGATGCAAAATGCAATGCAAGTGATCAGATTTTCCATGATACAATTGAGATAAGAGAAGATACTTTCACAAGACTGCAATTGCATTAAGCTTTAGAGTGACTAGAGCTATATACATTATCCTCAACCACAAAACACATTTACATTTTCAAGAACAGAAATAAGAACCCTCAAATCGCATTATGGCGCTCTTCTAGGTCTTGGTCTTCCTCTCTAAACTTACATTAAACTTAAAAAGTGGGAAAATGGCATTGGTACAAGATTGAAATACCTTTCCCATAGATCTCTACTAGCTTTGACCCTTCTCCTTTTCAACCCTCTGAATCTCTTCTTCTTATGGAGGGTTAAGCAATACTCCTTTCTAGCTATGTAGAAGGAACATTGAAGTGGAAGAGCCATGAGATCACAAAGGCAAAGACCATACAAGCTAAAAGGAAATTCAAGAAACGGTGTCCTTGCCAGAAGCTTCTAGCTTCAGCTAATCGTGGACCAGCTGTTCTCAGAGCTGGATTCACTACACCATTTTCTTCATTCAGACATTCCTCAGACTCCACCTCAACAATTCCAACAACATTACCCGCAATCGACCCGCATACTTCACAGATTCTGCAAAACAACCAAACCATTGAATCTCACCACAACCGGAAAAAAAAAAACAAAAAAAACAAAGCTTTCGTCTCTAAACTGAGTACAGATGGTCCCAAAACTGGAACTCATCAAACAGACAGTGAAAGGCAAAAGTGACAATAACCAGAAACCCTTCAAAAAAAATAAAAAGTAAACTTTCCTAAGTTTATGGAAATATTAGCCTTTCTACAAAACTATCTTTAAAGCTGAAATTTGTATGCCATCTTCTAGTGGAAGTAACACAAAACATCCGTTGTCCGAATTTGGGGATGAATGAACTTACTTGTTTCCTTTGATCTTGAACCAAGTCTCAGCACAGTGCTTGTGAGCAGCAGCGAGATCAGCTTTACAAGAACAGCCAAGCTCAATGGGAACACCAGATTCAAGATTCGCAGCATCTAAGCTCATGTGGCAAATCCTGCAATCTCTCTCAGATTGCGACAAATGTACGACGTCCTCGGGCAATCCAAGCTCCAGATCTACTTCCACCGAACACACCGACGCATTGGATCTCCTCTCTTCATCCTTCACTATCTCTCCTTCCTCCACCACCGCACCGGAGCTCCTACGTGGCTCCCCGTCTTCGTTGGAGACATCATCACAGCCACTTGAGCCATGGATTACTTGAGCAGAGACAGGGGTCTCGGGACGTGGCTGTACCACTACAGATTCCATTTTCGGTAGAGAACCAGACGAGGAATCCTCATGTAAAGTACGAAATGAGACTTGGATAGATGATCATCAATCAAATGCTCTGAAGCTGCTTGAAGAAAGAAAGAAGGAAGAAAGAAAGAGAGAGAGAAGAAAAAAAAAGAAAAGAGAGAGCTTTTTTCTTGTTGAAACGTTACAGTTGAAATTACATATTTGCCACTGAGATTTGGAGTTAAGTGATCGTCAGATTCTCACAGACAATAATAATATATTTACTCTCTCTCTCTCTTGCAGTTCACCTGGGGACTCTTCGGGATATACAGTGACAACATTAAACAAACAAAAGCTAAGACACACCCACCTCTTTTTAAATTTCATTTATTTTTTGGAACTATTTTTTCATCATTACCGTCACTTTTATTTTATTTTTGGGATTCAAATTATATATTCTTTAAATCTAATATTGTTGGATATGTTTTTTTTTTATCATATGAATGCAAAGAAAAAAAGGACAACATATTTTGTTAGGAGATTATTTATGCTGTTTCTAATTTTCAATAATAATTTTGGGTTATTAAAACAACTTTCACTTCCTAACTAGACAGATATATATATATATATATATATAGTAATTCCATGACTATTTTAGATTATTCGACATAAAGTAGTTTATATTTTTGCAAGTGGTTAAAGTAATATGATGTAACTGACTTATTATATTAAAGTAACAGCCCATGTAGCTAATATAATAGTTTCCGGTGGATGATGGTCATCAAGAAGAAGATCCCTAGCTAGTTTGTGCAACCCAAAGAAGATGCATAAAACTCATGAACTGAGCTTTAAAGTATCTATCAGAAAGCATCCATTTTATGGATACATGTCTATATCAACTCTGTCTACCTCTAGTCTTTATTGTGCAAATTTAACCGTTAGGGGGAATCCTGGGATGACCTTAGATAGTCTCCACGAATCAAGTTATATATTGCTATACTATCTTTTTATAAGTTGTTGTTTGACTTAGACTCAACTTGATCATCGGTTCCCTTTGCTACACCGCTAATAAAGATTTTCTTATTGGTCTACTACCACACTAGACTTCTTAAACACCCCCACTAGGTCGATTGGTTTCCTAAATTTTTATTCTGCTAATTGACAAATTTGTATTAATGTATAATCATCGACTGCCTAACTAATTAAATGAATGTTGACGGATTTAGTAAAACTGAAGACTGATGATCTAACTAATTAACGCTTCGCTGATCAATTTAGTCAATTAGATATGCTTAGAAACTGAGACAAATCTTTAGTAGTTTGGTTTCACAAAACGTAAATCATTTTCAAAGAGTAATAGTCAAAAAGGCTTCTTTCCTTCATTGTTACAACACATATCCCATCCACACTTTGATTTCTCAAGTAACCCAAGTAAATAGAAAAGTCGATAAAATAGAAACGTTTACTAAAATTAGAGAAATAAACATTACAGAAACTGAAAAATTTTATATACAAAAAGATGAAAATTATAACATAACGCACCAAAATCATGAAAACTGAAATAAAAATAAATAAAACATTTTACTTAAAAACAGCAAGGAAGAAGAGAGAGGTGTTGTTGCAGCTTTAAGCCAAGCAAGATCTCTCCTTTTTGCAGCTTCTTCTTCTCATCATCTTCATCTTTCTCCAAAATCCCAACTTTCTCATTCTCCGGGTTCTTCGTTTCCAGCATCTTCGCGTGTTCTAACCTAAACCCAAATCTCAGCGATCGATGGAATAAATATTATCATCACGCGTCAAAATCTGTGTCCTTTGTCCAGATTCGATTCACGCCAAAATCCTAAATTAGTGAAATTTTTCGAGAGGGTTCTGAGATTGAATCTCATCAGATCGACCTAGTAACAAGGAAGCGATGAAGATGGCGACGAACGGCCGGTTTTTCACAATCGGGCTAGTCACGTCTTGGTACTCATCCAACATTGGAGTGTTGTTGCTGAACAAGTACTTGCTCAGCAACTACGGATTCAAATACCCCATCTTTCTCACCATGTGTCACATGACGGCTTGTTCGCTGCTCAGCTACGTCGCCATTGCTTGGTTGAAGATGGTTCCGATTCAGACGATTCGATCCCGAGTTCAGTTCTTCAAGATCTCAGCTCTAAGTCTCGTTTTTTGTGTGTCGGTGGTCTTTGGAAATATCTCTCTTCGGTTTCTCCCTGTTTCGTTTAACCAGGCCATTGGTGCTACGACGCCGTTTTTCACCGCTGTGTTTGCTTACTTGATGACGCTTAAGAGGGAGGCTTGGTTGACTTACTTCACTCTCGTCCCTGTTGTCACCGGAGTTGTTATTGCTAGCGGGGTAATTCTCCAACCCTTAAAATTGAATCCTGTTAAGTGTGCTGTGTACATTTTGGTGCTGGTTCTGATCCAGTTCCAAGGTTTTTTTGATGAAATTGAGATGAATATGGTGAATTCTTAGGGAATCGTTGTGAACTATATGCATGAATTAGAGGGAGTTTTACTGTTTTAATTGCTAGTCTACTAGCTTAATCTGGTTCATTCAATTCATATGTTGCCATCATAGCTATAGTTTTGATGCAAGAAGCTAGATATATTATGAGCTGAATATGGTTGGTTCAGTTTCATTTTTGCGCTTTTTACTTTGGTAAAAGTTCACACATTGTTGAAATACGTTTCACAATAGATATTTTTTGCTCATAAAGTTTGACTACCTGAAATGTTGTTCTTTTTCTGTGTGATGTGTTTGCTTCCTCTGAGATCTTCTTTAGTTCACTGAGTACTTTCTTTTATATATAAGTGTGTGATTTTCTTAATTCTGGTTGTCTCAGGGTGAGCCAAGCTTTCACCTGTTTGGTTTCCTTATGTGCATTGCAGCCACAGCTGCGAGAGCACTTAAATCAGTGCTTCAAGGAATTCTACTTTCGTCTGAAGGGTATGATATGGCTGAAATTGTCCCATGTGATTGTTAAAGGTCTATGTAGCAATAGTTTGAACTTCCTAAAGAGTGTTGCTAAAAAGATTCTAAATTGTATTGAAGGGAAAAGCTAAACTCCATGAATCTCCTCCTTTACATGGCGCCAATAGCTGTCGTGTTCCTTCTGCCTGCTACTCTTCTTATGGAGAAAAATGTTGTCGGCATTACAATTGCACTTGCAAGAGATGATTTCAGGATCGTTTGGTATCTTCTATTCAATTCAGCGCTCGCCTATTTCGTCAACTTGACAAATTTCTTAGTCACGAAACACACTAGCGCCCTCACTCTGCAGGTAACTATCCATTTTCATCTTACATCCTTTGTTTAGTAGAAAATATGATATATGGTATATGGTTGGCACAAAGTCAGTCCAAGTAAGTGTAGAACTAGTGAGAAACGATGGTCTGCTTGGTCATGTTAGTCATGTTTCTTGGATGTTGAGTAGGATTTGCTCTGTTGGGTATCTGATAAGGGTTGGTGTTCTCGACGTTTTGAAACGATTTTTGTTTTCAAGATGTGATTCACGGAAACTAATACAACCTCGTTCTGATCGGTCTGTGACAGGTGTTAGGAAACGCCAAAGGAGCAGTAGCAGTGGTGGTCTCTATTCTAATCTTCAAGAATCCGGTTTCAGTAACCGGAATGCTAGGTTACTCCCTCACTGTCTGTGGAGTTATCCTCTACAGCGAAGCCAAGAAACGAAGCAAATGAGAACACCAAACACACACACACACACACACACACTAAGGCCTAAGCTTCTTCTTCATCGTTCCTTCCTCTATATATCTATATATGTTTTATATTTTCTCCCATATGGAAACACAGGCAAGTAGTCTCTTTTGCTGTTACCAAAATCTTACACAGCATAACTGACTCTTGTCTTAATGAAAAGTTGGGCCAAAAGCATGGAATTTTTGTGGCAGAAACACGAGAAGCAAAGCAACACTAGGATGATTGATTACCAAAGGCAGGAATTTAGAGAACTTCATATGAATAAGTAACCTTTTATTTTTATTTTTGTTCTTTCTCGGATTCTCTTGCCATTCTCGTAGGTTGTTTGTTGAAGTAGCTTTTTGTTTTCTTCGATTCTTTTACATTTTAGATTCGTAATGTCAACATTTACAACAATACCGATTAATTAATCGAAAGAGAGAAAATTTCTAATGTTTTTCTTCTTAAACCCCGTGTTTCCATAATCCCATTCATTGAGAATTCTATTTGAGTATCAAGCTATATCTCAAGGTTTCTGAGTTGTTCAGATCACAAAGCTGTGTAGTAACTGTTGCGGCAGAGCAGAGCAGAGAATCAGAATTGGAAGTGATAACAGTCTGCAGGGTGGGAAAGAGTTAAAAGAGAGAAGGGGACAAACGAGTTATTCTTACTTAAGAAGACACAGTCTTGTCTTTGTCTGTATAATAAGCATGTCTTGTCAAATCACTCGCTTCATTTCTTTATCTGGTAACGGCAGCCATTATCATATCGAGCTGTAGATCCAAATTCACTGCAGCATATCTCACTTTCACGGTCTATAATCCACACATTAACAAGTAGGCCAATCCAAATATATTTTGTAAATTTTCAGGATTTTATTGACCCAAGAAGTGTAAAGCTGACATTGCTCGCGCTTTGTAGTTTGTAGGGGTGGTTAATTAAACATACAAGATGCAACTTGGGACTTCTTCGTCCCAATACCCTCAAATCGAAACCACCACAAAGAGAATTGAAACATGAGTGTGTGGTGATGGAGAAGACTCCTTCAAAGTCTTGGTATACCAAAGCTTGTAATGTGATGACAACTCTCTCGACAGGGAAAAAGCAAGAGTGAGAATTCAGGAGATATGGAGGGTGGAAAACGCCAAGATGGGGTCGGAGAGAGAGAGAGATGAAGGGAGAAAAAAGAGGAACGAAAAGGGCAAGAGATGTTGGAGTAAATTGGTAATGTGTACACACACTTACAAGACAGACAAAAAAAGCTGAATAAAGAAACCAAAAAAGTTGGAACCCAAAGAGAGTTGGAGACTGTGACAGTTGGGTCGAGTCTATAAAACTCTTTGAAAGTACTCGAGTGGCTTTTCATGAATTGAGAGAGAGAGAGAAAAAGTAAGATATTGAAAAGGGTGGTCTCTTTTGCAGGAGGACGATGATAATAAGAACGATGTATGTATGGTACACACACGTTCCTTACTCTATTACCCTACGGATACTCAACACTCTCAATTCTACTAGTACTGATCAATAGATGGTTCTCACTAGAGACTTCCCCAAGAATTTTATTTTATTTTCATTCAAGGATTAACATTTTTGATTACCTTATAATTATTGTTGTCTCGTACTAGTATTAAACAATTTTTCATGTCTAGTTTTCCAACAGAAAAAGGATCAAAATAATAATTTGACATGAAGTTTCAGGGACATTGTTTATTATTAAAAAAAAAACTGTAAAAAGAAAAACAATTGTGGAATAATACTAGTATTATTTTTTTAATTGTTTTACTAGAACTTGTCAGAGATAATGTATAGAGGATCTAATTATGATTCTAATGTCATGACATATCTAGTGACTCTGCAGCAGCTCTTCCAAACTCTGCTAATTTCAAAGATTCTATTGTGGGCCAAAACTTTTTCTTGAGCACTGATTTTGTCAGCAATTTTGGATTTCATAGTCTGTGTAGAAATGATTTACTTGTTTCTTTCCCAAGAGTTTGATGATATATGCCCATAACTCTTATGGGAACTCCTCCACAACTCTTCACTTCTCCAAACTCCAAAGTTAGGCCTAATGGTAAAACAAAAAAAAGTATTGGGTTATGCTACTTAAGCATATAGACAACAAACAATAATATAGAAGAGAATAGTAAACGTTAGGTCGGATGAAAAATCATGGCAGAGGCTAGTAGACAAAAATAAATTCGTTTTTATTCTTTTGGAAAATAAATAATGTCATTTTCTATAGGTTTTAAGTAATTTGAGATGGACTATACATGAGATAACACAGGCAAAGGCCACATGGAATGTTCTCCTTTATGTATCCCTTGCTGGTGAGATTTATAATTATTTCATATCTGTTTTTAACAATGTTTTCTTTTTTTCTTCTCTCGACATGTAATTAACTTATTCAACCATTTCATTTTCTTCTCATAGTAAAGTCCAAACAATACAATATAAAACGTAAAATGACAACAAAAAGATACTGTTTAGGATAGCATTAAGTAACTATCTCAATGTGACATATGCTTTTGCCTCTATAGTGAATTTTTTCTTCTTCCATATGCAAGTTATATGAATCTTAATTTTGATTGTGACATCTAGTTTATAGACAACTATACTATTTGTTCTTCTTTTTTTAATCTGATTTATATTTTTTTGTAAATATTTCTAAAACCTAGAGGATCATATAATTTCGAATGGATAATAAATACGTTACGAAATAAACAGTAGATAATTGGTGTACTATAAATAAAACAAAACTAATTAATACTCTCAAAAAAGTTGCTTACCTATAAATGATCTTTGATTCATTAATCATTCAAACTACACCGATTACTCTATTTGTATAAACCAAACTTGTGATGCTTTGTTTTTTGCCTGTACTACGTGTGCTACAACTACTAATCGTTTATTTCCTTTTCAATATCGAAGTTAATAAGGGGAGTGGGCAACACAACACAAGTGGTTGTTACGAACAACAAGAAACAAGATCAGCTGTCGAAAGAAGCCACAAAATGGATAATAAAAACAAGTTTTTGAGAATGTTGGGACTTGGAAATGATGAGTTGTAAAGTGATGGCACGAAATATATCATTAATTCACAACATTTAAAAGCGTGGACAATGAAATAGTATAACAACACTATACACCATCTTTATTTAATTGTGTACCAAATTGGTTGTGTATCAATCAACAATGACTTTGGAAGTTAATGAGATCTGCCACATACTTCAATTTCGAAACGACGAGTTCTCTCTTACTCTAGCACGTTTATAACAAAAACACAATACTCCATACGTAAGAAAAGGGTAAAAAGAAAACTGTAAAAAAGTTAAGTAATTTGAATGGCGCGCCTTCCCAAAGTCTCATCATAGTACTGTCTACAAGAAAATCACAAGTGAAATTTTAAATTGGACATTTTCTTGGTTCTTACATAAAGATAAAGACTTAAGTGTTACTTGGAAAGTTTGTTCGAGGGTATGGGATGGAACATACATATCGAGATAATCAATTTGTACATAAGGATTCATCATGTGATAATGTGATTAGATAACAAAATACTACTAAACAATGAGATGTGTAATATATACAAACACAATCATAGAGGAGATATGTGGTATGTGGATGGATCATGAGTTGTGTCAGAGCATTGTCTTATGTCAAAAAGAAAATTGAATTGGAACCTTCTTTTGATGACCCAAAAAACCTCAAAAAGCTAGTTTAAGCTACTACAAAAGTTTAAAGAGCATAGTCTGTTTTTACCCATTATTATAGTATTATTTCACAAAACCTCACAAAGCTGTTTGATGATTCTATCAAAACAGTAAAAGTAAGACTAAAAACTCATTAATAAATTGGGTTGCAAGCACATAATGTTTTTAAGTGTTATGAGTTCAATGTATGAAAAGACAAAACAGGAGCTAATTTGTCTTTTCGATTTTAATAAACTGAAATGATCAGATCCCTAAAACTCGCCCTTTATTACACCAAGACATCAATAATATAAAGATTTTTAAAAAAAAACTCAAACCTTTCACTTTCCTTAGAAATTCCTCAAAAAATTAAAAAACAAAAAGAAATGATTTGTGCTTCCTCGCACTCGTGCATCTCTCTCTCTCTCTCTCTCTCTCTCTCTCTCTCTCTCTCTCTCTCTCTCTCTCTCTCTCTCTCTCTCTCTCTCTCTCTATTACTTAACTCCTAAAACAAATACTCCTACCTGTGCCATCTGCTGCATTGTCTCTCTCGAATAAATTAATTCTGGGCTAAAATGTTATTAAACAAAACTAAACCGGCGAAAAATGTTATATCACAAAATTCAAAGGGCCAAAAAATATGATTTTTTTTCTAAACAATGCAGGAAGCGGAGGAGGAGGGCCTATGGGACCAAGCGAGCCATCTCGAAATCACCGCCGTGGCTTGTCGTTGTCTAGGCTCTCCTCCCCATCTCCTCCGTCTCTCAATACTCGTTAACTCCGACACACTTCTCCCGTTGTTTACATCTCTCCCACCCTCCGCCGCTGCTAGTTTCTTACTATCGCTAAGTATCATCTCCGATCGCAAATACAAAAGATCCGACGGCCTCACCTCGCTCCACCTCTGATCGTCTCGATTCCCGCCGGAGATTATTATCCGGTGCTCGAATCTCCCCTCCAAGCTCTCCCGATTCGGAATTAACAACAGTCCGTCTTTTCTCTGTACCCGATCAACTGCGACGGGTTCCGATTTCTCCTCGCCGGTGTTAACTTTTAAAGAGCTATCGAGTGATCTCCGAAACGACGTCGGATTCGTTTTAGACGACGAGGACGCTTTAATCTCGTTGAGTCGACTCGCTCGTTCACCAGCTGATGAGTGACGACCGGAGATTCGAGTGACCGGAACAAACCGGGTTAAACCGGTACTGTTGGATTCTTCTTGGCGGTTAGAGAAACGGAGCTCGAACCAGGAGTTACAATCACCGATCAAGAGTATGTCTTCCGGGTCGACCCGGTAACGGCAAAGGGGGCAAGTGGAGTGAGCGTCGAGCCACGTGTCAACACACTCCACGTGGAAGGCGTGTTTGCATTTCGGCAGTAGCCTCAGCACTTCCGTCGGTTCGAACCGAGCGAGACACACGGCGCACTCTAAACCGTCTTTGTGACCGCTCAATGCACCAAACCGAAAAACCGGTAAAGATTCGATCACGGACCGGTCTATACCGGAGTTTTTCCTCCCTAGTACTACTCCACCACCGCCGTAATACCCATACCCTCCTCCTCCGTATCTAGAGATTGCGAAACGCTGGTGGTGATTAACGTAAACGCCGCCGTTTCTTCGTTTGCAGTGTTTGACGTAGAGGAGGAGCAAGAAAGTGAGAGAGAAAAACGCGGTGAGGACGGCGATGACAACGGCGATCCCGGGCATGAAAGAAGAAGTTAAGTTATGCCGTGGTGGTGGAGAAGGCGGAGGAAGTGGCGACGGCGGGGTGGCTGAGGTCGTAATAACAACTGCCGTGTGATTGTCTGCGAGTGAGACATTGAGGAACAGAGATAGAAGAGAGAAGAGAAGAAGTAGCAAGGAAGAGGAAGACATGGCTTAAGGGGCTTCTAGTTGAAAGAGAAGGTCTCTACTACTTTTTAAATGGTTTTTTTTTTTGCTAAATCAAAAATTAAAAATTATTATAGTAGAGAAGTGCCTGAAAATAAGGGAGACACTTTTGTGAGTGTGAGAGGGAGAGAGAGAGAGATTTTAAAGGGAAAGAAAACAAAGTGAGTAATGACAAAGAGGATTGCATTAAAAACATGACTACTCCTCTCCTTCTTTCATCTTTCATGGCCTTCAATTTTCATTTTAATGACTCTCTCTAGTCTCCAACCAAAAACAATTTTATTTTATTTGTAATTCTCTAATAATTACTAGTATTGAAATGATCAGTACGTAGGGACAAAATCAATGATGATGATATTAAATTCAATACTACTACAGGGCTAGTATAGTATAGTTAGTTACTAGGGAGGTTGGTTTCATGCAGATGCAGTGTGTAATTTCTTTGCAGCGACATGCATGTGTGTTTATAGAGTTAGCTACTTGTAGTTCTAATTGAGATCAAAGTGTCAGAGTTATTTATGGAAAGTTGAACTGTTTCGGAATTTTCACACTTAAATTATGTTAGTGTAGCTATATCTAAAACGCTTTCTGATTCAAAACAAAACCTAGCACAGAGCCGACGAGAGCATCTACTAGAATCAAATCATCAATGCAACCAGCAAATAAAAAATAATAAATCAATAATGCATGTCTCTTTGATTTTCATTTCTTTTCGGACTTAATTGAAGCTACAGTTGCAATATATTTGTAAGAAACTGCGAAGCTCCAAAGACTATGATGAAGCTAGCTTACGCACTTCTCGTGATAATCTTAGTCAAACATATCAACATGGTTTTGCAACTGAACCTTCTTATATTGTACGTGTCTATGAAGTGAAAATGTTAACATCCTCGCTATTCATGTGTATTTTGTTTTATCCACGTTGCACTGAAGGTTTAGACAGCGCAATCACATTTTAACCGTTCATACAAACCAACTTTTTTTTATCTGCGTGTAGAATCTCTCTACAGTACTTTTAAGTCACACTTGCAACTTAAAGCCAGCCATATAATGTATGTCCTTCCTTGATTTGTTATGCCTCCTAATTCCTATACTCTCCAAGTTTTTCAAAAGTATACAAAGATTTTTAACGTGTTTAAGCTAATAATACAGAGACGCTAATCATGCCAAAAACGACCTTGAAAAAAGTTTGTAACTAACAGCAAGTCAGCAAGTAAAGCTTTTTATATTGCTGCACCATTATATATATCTAAAATTTTATGTAATCTTTTTGAACCAATTTCCATTTTTTTCTATCTGGATTTGTACGTTACGGCCCATTTAAAGCAAACGTTATTTATTATTTGGTCGGTACCATTTAAAGCATATCTTATACTAGTAATAGCTATGTAGTATTAACTTTGGCAATCGTGGTATCCGTCCCCCACAAATTATACATACTCATCATGCTGATTAGTGATTAGTTTACTCACCTAAATATATTTGATTGGAACAATAATCACCTACATGTTCGTTTTGATAAACTTAGGGATCCCTTTAATATCTCTAAACCGAGTTACAAAATCAGGACCGGACTCAACACAAACCAGTCTTTGGAGCTTACAGAGACGCTAAATCCTCTTTAATCGAGAGGTCCATGACGCATGACCAAGTAACTCGGCCCAGCCCATAACAAAAAACCTTTGCAACTCCGTACGGTACGGCGCAAACGCAGAAAAAAAAAACAGAGAAAGCGAGGAGAAATCGCGATCGGCTTCTTCAGCCACACCCGTGTCACAACAGTGTGGCCGCCACTCAATCGCTGTCGCGTTTCCATCAGATTCCCGGTTACGTTTTCCGTTTCCTGAAATCTGATTCTGCCGCTTCCCACCCAATTACGCCGCCGGTGAGTTCTTAACCGTTATCGTAATTCTCCAAATCTACTGGTTAGTCGATGTAGGGTTTCTTGCAAATTCCCCATTTTCCTGTTCAGTCACTGGGTTTTCGAATTGGGGAGGGAAGTCTTCTCGCAAGATCATTTCTTTTTTCCCCTGAAACACGTTTCCATTTTATTGCGTCTGCGTTCTCTGTCTCCATAGATTTTGTGCATCATCAGCAATTTGGAGCTCTACAACTCTTGATCTAATTGTCTTCATGTCGCAAACTTATGTCTATACGATTTGTGCTCAGTTTCTTGAATTGTTCATGTAAATTGTATGAATGTTTATAATATGAATTTTTGTGTGTCCTCAATGTGTGTCTCTTTGTTCAAATGATTAAGACATGAACCACTTGTGTAATGTAATCGTTTTTTTACTGATAGTAGTTTGGAGGAAGAAAAAAATGAGGCCAAAAGCTGTGTGGGAGCCGGAATACCACAGAGTGTTTGTTGATTTATGCGTGGAGCAAACGATGTTAGGGAATAAACCAGGGACACATTTTTCGAAAGAAGGTTGGAGGAACATATTGACATCGTTTCAGGAGAAGACAGGTGCTATGTACGATAGAATGCAGCTTAAAAACCACTGGGATACAATGAGCAGGCAGTGGAAAATCTGGCGTAGACTCGTTGAAAGCAGTTATATGAGTTGGGATCCTGAGACCAACACGTTTGGTGCCAGTGATGATGACTGGGCTAACTATTTACAGGTTACAAGTCAAAACCTTTTGTTACATTTTTTTGGGATAGTTTTGTTGTTTCTTTGAGACTAAAAAAAGGTGATTGCTTATTCTGCAGGAGAATCCTGATGCTGGACAGTATCGGTTGAGTGTTCCCCCAGATCTCAAGAAGCTAGAGATTATCTTTGCGGGTAGTAGTAATGTAGAGGTCAAAGATGAGGGAGTTTTGGGTGTAAGGAAGAGGCGAAGAAGTTGTTACGAGGAAGAAGATGAAGATAACCAAAGCATGTGTAGTTCATCTAACCCTCAAACAAAAGGATATTGGTCTCCTTCTACACATGAGCTGTTTCTTGACCTGTTGGTTCAAGAGACTTTGAAAGGAAACAGACCCGACACACATTTTAACAAGGAAGGTTGGAAGACGATTCTTGAGACAATTAATGATAATACCGGCCTTGGTTATACAAGAGCACAGCTGAAAAACCACTGGGATTGCACTAGGAAGGCTTGGAAGATTTGGTGTCAACTCGTTGGAGCTAGTAGCATGAAATGGGATCCAGAAACTCGTAGTTTCGGTGCTACAGAAGAGGACTGGCGAATTTATATTCGGGTATGAAAATGTCTAACTTTGGTTCTTCTTCTACTCGACTACATTTTTAAAAAGCTAAGCTTCTCTCTTTGGTTTACCACAGGAAAACCCAAAAGCAGGACAATTTCGCCACAAGGAAGTTCCTCATGCTGATCAACTAGCTATCATTTTCAACGGGGTTATAGAACCTGGAGAGACATACACTCCTCCTTCGCGTCTGCGCAAGAAGCTCCTCTACCGTTCTGAGTCACCACAATGGAATGACCCAACTCCATTATCAAAGCTGCACATAGATGAAGCAGAAACATCCAGGCTAAATGGCGGTTATGCAGAGTCTCGATTGCAAGAAGATCGGATAGAAAGCGAAACCGCTCAACCATTGGATGCCATGAAGTCAATGAGTGAGGGTATGTTGCAGGAAAGTCCGGTATGCGTGGCAATTGAATCGGGAAAGCTTATGTACAGCATTGGAGAATGCATTCAAAGTCTGGACGCGATGAAAGAGGTGGAAGAAGGTAGTGAGCTCTACTTGTTTGCGTTGGATCTGTTTCTGAAGAGAGAGTATAGAGAGATATTCTTAGAGCTGAAGAAGCCGAGTTTGAGAATCGCGTGGTTGCAGAGACTTCACTCTGCTTCACTTTGTGTTACTACAACATAGGTTCAAGTTATAAAGCTAAAGCCATCCTTTTTGTTAATTTTGACCTCTGTTTTTGTCCAAAAGAATCTTTCTATCTTTATTCTATATATGGATTATCTATTGAACAGACATGTTGAGATCATGTTGATGAACATTTGAGTTCATATTTTTTCAATGTAAACCTCCTTCAAACTTTGGGTTGAGTGACAATTGAAAAGTACAACATTTGCAAGTTACTAGTAAACAAGCTTTAACTATTTTGTTGCAGTCTGTAATGTAGTCAAACCCAGTTTCCCACAAAAGATGTAAAACCTAGAATATACCTCTCACTCGCATTTGGTGTACAAGTAACACATTTGTGAGCTGTTACGTTTTCTGTCTGATAAAGAAACCAGCAACAGGGTGGTTAGTATTCTCATGAATGCAATGAAAACTTGAAACAAAGATTCCATATGTATTTTTCATTGAAAACTTCTATGCACCGTATAAGAGAGAGAGAGAGAGAGAGAGCAGAACAAGTTTGAAGCCACCGACACTGGAGTGTGTGAAAAGAGGCTTTTGAGAGTTGATTAGAATAAAAAAAGTCGATAAAGCGAATGACGACAAAAAAACAGTAACAAAGTGGGCAACCAGGGAAAAAAAAAGAAGGTTTAGTGGCATCGCAATACAATTAATTAGCCTGAAAGGGTTTATGGAAAAAACTAAGAGACGCGCCAGGTAGGGGTCGAACCTACGACCTTCTGCTTAGGAAACAGACGCTCTATCCACTGAGCTACAGGCGCTTACGTACCCAATAATATCTCATATATTACAAGTTAACACTGTATTTGGCTTCTTTTTTCATCCTTTTCGGATTCTTCTTTCTCTTTTCCTTTTTCAGTCTTTTTTTTTTTTTTTTTTTAATGGCGGCCGACGGCATATGATTTTTTTTTGTTAAATTTCCAAGAAATATCAACATTTTATAATGGTACGTTACACTACACACAAAAAGACATAAAGGATAAACATGTGTAGTTAAGTTTAAGCTTACTTCTAATCTCGGATAATATTAATTTATAACAAATTTTTAGCAATTGTCACATTGTTTTTCAAAGTAAAGCTTTTAAATTAGTTGTCTCCTTGTTTATTCTTAGTGTTCTTCTTAAAGATTAGTTACGCCTTATACAAAGCCGACGTAAACTATCGTTAAATACGAACAACTTTATGTGTTGTGGATTTATTTTGAATAATTTATAGTATTCGAGAAAATTTACCTAACAAAAAAATAAACGATGAATTCTAGTGGTTATCAAAATTTTGGAAGGATATGAAAATGTTTGGCATAGTAAGATTTTTTTTTATAGTTGTTATTAATTATAATTATATTGATTTCATTATGAAGAATCCTCTCTTTGAATAAAATGAAGCCAAGTAGGAGAGTGGAGTGGTTTCATTGGTTACTACTTTACACACACATGCACTAGTATAGTATCTATAATACAAACCACAAACACCTTCTTCTGTCTTGCCCTTTGCTTCTTCACCTCTCTTTCTCTTTCTACCATCTGGGTTTAATTTTGCCTGTTTTGTTTTCCTCACTTTTGCAGATTCTCAAGGATTCTTCAAAGTTTTAGTCTTTTTGTGTTTTTTTTATTCTCCAGATTCTTCAGAACAATCTCTCACTAAATCAGCTTCTTTAATTTGATTCCATCATTAAACTATTCGTTAGTTTTCCCCGTTTGATTCCTATATATCTTTAGATCCTATAAATAGCTTCAGTCTTTCACTACACCCACAAATCAAGTCTCAAGCTTCCAAAACATTTGCGAGAACAAAACTCATATATAAGTACTTTATAGGTGTGAAACTTATAGCCTTTAAACGATGGAGACTCTGCATCCACTACTCTCGCACGTGCCAACCTCTGACCATCGGTTCGTAGTTCAAGAGATGATGTGCTTGCAAGGTTCGAGCTGGACTAAAGAAGAGAACAAGAAGTTTGAGCGAGCCCTCGCTGTCTATGCTGATGACACGCCTGACCGCTGGTTCAAAGTTGCGGCTATGATCCCTGGAAAGACCATATCAGATGTCATGAGGCAATACTCTAAACTTGAAGAAGACCTCTTCGATATCGAAGCAGGACTTGTCCCAATCCCGGGTTACCGTTCTACTCCATGTGGATTCGATGATCAGTTCGTGAGTCAGCGTGACTTTGATGCGTATCGTAAACTGCCTAATGGAGCCAGAGGATTTGATCAAGATCGTAGGAAAGGAGTCCCATGGACGGAGGAAGAACACAGGTGAAGAAACTATTAAGCTCTGTGATCCTTGTCACACAAGTCACTCTTCTTAGTTTCTTAAGTTGCAAGTCACTTCTCTGTTTTCTTGGTTGGTTTGTTTGCTGATGCTTTATATCATGTTTTAAATATTGTCTGCAGGAGGTTTTTGTTAGGTCTTCTCAAGTACGGGAAAGGAGATTGGAGAAACATATCGAGGAACTTTGTGGGATCAAAAACACCAACTCAGGTTGCAAGCCATGCTCAAAAGTACTACCAGAGACAGCTCTCCGGCGCCAAAGACAAACGTCGACCTAGCATTCACGACATAACCACCGTTAATCTTCTCAACGCCAATCCCAACCGTCCATCTTCTGATCAAGGCTGCTTCGCTTCTTCACAACAGGCCGACCCGAAACAAGAGTTCACCCACAAGGAAAATGCAGAGGAGAGAGTGATGTTTCTTGGTCAGAATCTTTCCTCAGTTTTGTCTCCCTACGATCCTACCTTTAATTTCGCCGGAGCAAATGTTTACAGTGACGGAGGCTACACTATCACAATATCCTGATCGAGAAAATTGTCGAATTTTGAAATTGTAATTATGAACAAACTCCAGAATTATGTGTTATGGTTAAAATTACAATTATGGTTATGTTACATGATTAGACGAATGTGACTATGTGAATATATATGTTATGTTTTGTGGAATTAGCATAAGTTAGCTAGCTATTAATTATTGCATGCCAATGTGTTTTTGCTCAAAAGGACCAGTTGGTGGGTTTATTTTTGGCTTTGCTTGCAACTTTAACGGTCAGTAAAGCGTTTTAACGCCACTAGCTAGAACCAATGGCAAATTTTCATATCATTTACAAGATCTTATTTTACTTTTGCATCTGCTTTCTTCTTTCAGACGTTTTATATAATAACTTACTTCGCTATTTTGTGACCTAAGATATTTTTACAAATAAATCACTATATATCTTTTACCTCTACATAAAAAATATATACATTAAGTTTCAGTTAACTCTAATTTTGTTGAGGTTGTACATATATATCAGTGTTTATTTGTGCTCTTTTGATCACGGGGGTACGTGTTCCACCAAAGTTGATTACCTCTCAAAACATACAATTAGATTGAGACGAATATTTCCAAGATAATTTGATATGCGATTTCTTAAAACAATGTATAATATTTTCTTTTAATGATTCAACCAAACAATAATATGTCTTAAAATTTTATGTAACAAAAAAGGAACAAAAGTGAGGGTTGGATATATTGCACTGTAGCCTTTGTAGGTGTGTGTGTGTGTGAGTGTGGGTGACAAAGCTGACCACTAACTCTCTCGTAAACGGTATATAATTTGAAGCTGAGTCTGCATTCCACTTTCGGCACAAAGAATCACATTCTTTTCACCTATTACACACCAACCCTTTGCTCCCTCGATGTTGTTATATAGTTTTAAAAAAAAAAAAATGTGTCCTTAAATCCTTAGATATATTATTATTCTTGACAAACAAATATAACAGTTTAGTTCAAGTGGAACATTTGTATAAGCTCCGGGACAAATGATTTTTTTTTTTTTTTTGACATATAACTATTTTAGTGAAAGAACTAATAAATATGGAAGATTTGATTATTATTTTTGTATATGATCAGTAGACAAAAAAAATTATATAATATATAATGCTTTAAAATATGATTTAATTCATGTCCTTTCGCAATATGTTTTAAATTTTGTAGAAATATGACATCATATATCATTATCATCTCTTTTTGGTTTGATGTATTTGATAAATAAAATGTATATGACTTTCTATTAGCTACTCTATCAAAGATTCTTATTTTGCGGGAAAATATAAAGGGAAGATTAAATTGAATCGCTTTTTATTTTGTATTAGAGAATTTTCAGTTTTCCAATCAAAACATTTGAGAATAAAACTTTCACAATTAAAAAAAAAACATATGAGAATAAAAAGAAAAAGATATTCTGAAGTATATAACTTTCCGACCATGGCCAAAAAGCCTTTCACTTTTTAATCACGAACAGTAGGTAATAATAATTAAGCCATGTCCATTTTATTGATTGTATTGGGAAACAGTGAAGATCAAATAGTATATACTACTATATATAGTCAATTTAAGAGAATCAGAACCCTAATTTACTTTTTTTTTGTTCATGCGGGTATAAAACCCTAAGATACTAGTTAATAGTAATAATGTAGGTCGGTTCGAGTAGATCAAATCCCACCACCACCACCTATGTCTTTCGAATTGGTTAATACATATAATATATAGTTCTATAAACCCAAAGCCAGGTCTATAGTTAAAAATAGATTAATCTCACTTTGGTAACTTCATCACTTTTTGATTTGGTCAACTCAATGAGATATGCAACCTAACCACTAACATCATCATACTAATAAATATGAAAGCCTTCTTGTATATCCTTACGTCAACGTCTGTATAATGATACAACTACAGTATTATTTTTCGTAGTGCTAGCTAGGTTACGTCGTTTTGATTGCTTTAATCTCTTTCTTTTAGCAGATATGAAGATTTCTAAGTAAAAACATCACAGAATTATTATTATATTGTGGAATTAAGAATTAGTTTGTAATCAACAAGGACTAATTAAGGAGTATAGCATAACAAATACACATATAAGTGAAAAAGAAGCATTAATGCGTAACAAAGCACGCTCTTGTTTTCGTTTCTGTTCCCGTATCAAATATCTTTTCCACGAAGCTTACGCCATTTATTAACTTTCTTTTTTCCTTCACAATCCTTTTTCACTTTACCTTTTGTTAGTTGTTGTTGTTGTTGTTGTTGCCTTCTTTTCAATTATAAGAAAAGCAAAGCTCATCAAAAAGGTCTAGTCTTTCTTTTTACATATCTCGCGCGATAAGCAAATTAATCTCACTTCACCTAGTAAAAAGTTCCCAAGCACCAACAGTACCCTTGTTGACTTGTTGTGGTCAGTGGCTCTAATCAGATGTTTCATATTGGGTTCAATTATATACAAGGACAATATGGAGAACATGTTCATCTAGATTCGGATATACAGAAGAAACAAACGAGGCTGTACACTCTCGGGGAGAGATGTGATTGTATAACAGAGGATATTATATAACTGAAGCTATTGTCGGCCAGACCAGAAGAAACGAATAAAAACGCACACATATGCTAAATGGGAAATTTGGTCTCAAGAATTTCATTAGGATAAAAGACCCTTTGTGGAGATTTCGACACATTGACAGTGAATTTTTGTTATCTTAAACCCCCTCAAAGGAGGCCTAAACCTAACGAACTCGCAAGATATAATGAAAAAGACTCTTTGATACATCCTGAATAAGAAAAATCGAGAATTCAACACTCGTACAAGAGAGCTGACTGATATCAAACTAAACTCGTTCGTCCCCCCTGACTTCTCGCTTCTTTCGGGGAAGAGAACACACAACAGCTGCCTTCATCACGGGCCAATGACTAAGTCACGAGACAACCTGATTTAGCTGGTGGCGGCGGGTATGGCCACAGGCTTTGAGTCCTCTGCTTTTTCATGTTCCTTGTTCAGCAACTGAAACATAGCATCCACATGATTACGGTCACAAAAAACAAAAATCAGGTGTACTTTCACACTGCGTGTGACGTGAGAGGGAATCAAAGATCGAACCTTGTTGTTGATCAAGTTGTGTAGTGCAATTACACTCCGAATGAGGGATGATAGATAGATAACGAGCATCATATCATTTGTTTTCACTGCACATTATAAATACAGTAAGACTAATGAAACAAATGCATCAAGAAAACAGTCGGTTTAATTTCAAAATTGATAGCAGAAACTCACCTGAGAAGGCCTTGACCAACTCGTTCACATTCAGGTTAGGAAGCAAGTTGAAAACGTCCTATTGATTTCAAATAGATATTTCATTAAATGAGACCACCAATAGCAGAGACAGTGACTAGAAGATTATAAAGTGGAAAGATCATAGGTTTGGACAATATCATATAGTTTATAGCCATAATTTCTAGAACCAGAACACTAAATTAAAAGATGTAAGTTCTAACCTGCAGATGGTATAAAATCTCATGGTTCAAAGGGAGCTTTCCTTCAATTACAAGGTCAAGGTAACTGCGGATCTCCCGAAGACGTGCATCCAGTCCTTTCAAAGCAGTTAGTTTTGCTGTGACCTGGGTCAAAATGCAATATACATTATGTAAGTCCTCGAGCAGAATCTCTTATGTTCATAAATAACCTTGCAGGAACATCAATATCAATCCTCCAAGGAACGATTTCAGAAAACATTTATAAGGACGATAATGAAACATTGAAGTACTGTAAAGACAAGAACCTCAGTCGCCAGGGTACTGATTGTTGTGTCTTTCACATCCCTGAGCAAATGTTCCACGCCTGTACAAGGAGGATGAAGCAAATAAGTTTCAAAATGTGACATCAAACAGAGCTGATCAAACCGTTTCAGACATACCTATTTCCTCGACTTCATGAGCAGCAATTTCTGTAGACACATGAACAAAGACTTTCTGGCTTTTCTGAGTTGCATTCTGAAGAGAAAAAGAAGTGCTTAGTCAGCATCTGATTAAATATAAGGATAGAACTGTACAAAATGGACAAGATTTGAAAGGGTCTGTATCTTACCTCCTTGACCTCCTCCACTGCATAGTATGCTTTTGTGGGGATTCCAAGTTCTTTAGGCTGGACATCTATAATGACCAACACTGGATTTGGAACATAGCTGCAGAATCAGAAGGAAAACGAAGCTTAAAATGGAGATGAAACAGAAGCGTTAAGTGAGAAAGACGAACAGATTTCTGCCTAAAATAACCAGCATATCCACAATGCTTCTCACATGTCAACAGAACATATGATAAAGGCCAATACATTGCTACTTGAATGATTAAGCTGGATACTAACCCATTGAACAACGCGTGAACATCCAAATCATTCTCTCGAAGTTTAGGGCCTGTGCTGTACCAACCTACAACATGCTCCTTGGCTGAAAAGAAAATAGTTTTTGTTAAATGCCTCGGATTCTACATTTTCAAATACGGTCTATTTACCAACTTCCGGAGAAATACCATTAATTCTCTTGAACATGTGGAACATTGACTCATGGTAGTTGTGATCAAGAAACCAAATACTTGGGTCTTTGTCATCCTCCTCGAAGGGTACTACAAAAATTAAAAAAATCACAATGTTAAACGAGTCATATGGAAGCAACATTCATCTATTAAAGAGGTTCCTAATGACAGTGTCCAAAGGACCACAGCTAAAGCCTCTTCTGCAAACTAAAATGCAGCTAAACCTCCAACAAATCAACCTAAAACTTATTTCTTTCTCTACACTTCAAGTAATATTGGAAATTCCAAAACACAACAGTAAAACTGAGAGATTGGTTGAATCCAAAACCCTAGCGAGAACAGAATGTATTGAAGTAAATATCAGAGAGTATAACAAAATCAAATTTAAAAAGTGCTCAATTCCGGAACTGAACTATACAAAACAGCTACAAAAACCCTAAATTGCTGTTATTATATACATCTCGCTAGAACCCAGATACCAATAACCCCTATAACATGACCGAAAGCACTGAATTCAAGTATAGCAAAGACCCCAACAGAATCTGAGATCTGAGATCGAAGAGAGCGAGAGGAAAAGTAAAAGTTAAGGCGCACCTGCGTAGCTGTTGGTGACATCAACGACACCACGGGAGCTGCTACCGAGAAGAACACCGACAACACGCTTACGCGAATCCTTAGCGACACGATTGTAATGGTCGACGATACTGAGCAAGACGAGTGGATGAACAACCACTTTCTCGATCGTCCTTGCTGATATCTGTTGCGTCTTAATCACATCCATTGCTGGGATGAATCAACCTTCGCTCGCTTAAAGTAATCTGAATTACGCCGGAGAAGATTTGGAAAGAGTGAACTTTTCCGATCTGGTATTTTTCTCCGACGGAGCTTGAGTTTGCTTCTTCTCCAGGAAAAATAACCTCTATACACAAATTGCCTTTTTAATCTCTCACTTATTTTAGTTTTAATGGGCCTGTGATTTGTTAAGCCCAATACAATATGAAGGGCCTATTGACACAATTTAGTGACCCATCAGCTGATTAGTACTAGGATTTTTTTTTTTTAATTATCTTTTCATTTTAGTATAAACTTTTAAAATATTTTATTCCAACGAGCAAAGAATATATGAACGAGAAAATAAAGCTGAGGATGTACTTAAAAAAAAGAAGATTAGAGATGTGCTACAGTTAAAGAAATATCATTACTGCCATTGTTGGTATCTTCTTCTTCTCTTTTGTAATAATCCAAATGTCATATATATAAACGTAAGTTGTAAAACTCATTTCATGGGAAGGGCAAACAACAAAGAGAATAAGCTAAAGATAAAGAATGTAACAACAATGTAAATTAAGGACTAGAAAGTGTTAATAGAGATTGTTACACGTAGAAGTACTACATCAACCTAATGGACTGATTATGTTAATATAATTTCTAAACATGTAGTTCCAAAATAGGGTCTCATCTCATGCATATAGACCAAAATCTATAGCTAGTTCTAAATTAATTGTGATATGATCCTCATTTCTTTAATTTATGCTTTCCCCACCCACTAGAGTCGTCGTTAATAATATCAAAATGAAAACCCTTCAGAGAAAGCTTAATCGGAGATCCAACGGCGGATGTTCCATCTCAGCTCCACAAGTTGAGTATGTTGAAAACGCCGTCGTATAGGCTTGCTCTCGTGTGTATTCGTTGTGGGTTGTCGCAGCGGTAACGTTTGCTCTCACTCTCTCAACCTTCGCTAATGGGAAGAGTTGCAACGTCTCTATCGCTTTCTCTTCTTCTTCGACACAAACTTCAAAGCTATCTACACGAAACCAAAAACTAAACCATATTATTAGTATTTTAATTTATACACCGTAGAATGTGATACAATATATAGAAAGAGATCATATATAGTTATAACCTTTAGGTGGAGGTTGTTCATGAAGGGGTGGTCTGTAACGAGGAGGACTAGAGAGATCTGTGTCACGACGATGATCGATGCACGAGATTTTGCGGCGCTTCTGTCTCTCCCTAGCTTTATGGTTTTGGAACCAATAGAACACGTTCTTGCTCTCGATCTTACCGTAGAAACTCAGCTCCGAAGAGATCTTCTGAATCTGGTCGGTGCTCGGTGTTCTCATCCCTGCCTTGAACAGATCCGTCAGAAGCTTCACTTGCTCCACCGTAGGATTCCACCGTCCACACTTCGTCCCTGTCCCTCCTCCTCCTCCTCCTCCGTTAATGCTACGACCTAATCCTCTAGCTTTAGTGGGCAATCCTCCGGGAGACATTATGAAATTCAAGAACAGAGTTCTCAAATGTTTGCGTTTAGGGTTTTGAATATGTTTATATGCGATGAGGTGTGTTAAGATGGACTTCGTGATGTGAATGGACCTGCAGGGTTTTAATCTGGATATATATAGAGATAGATATGATATGGTTAGATGGTGTGTGTCTTTTTTTGAAATTTTGTTGATATTATTATAATCCAAAAAGGAAATATTAAGTAACTGTGTATGTGTTTTGAGTTTTGTGTCGTTTGATTAGTGTTGTGTAGGATAAAAGTGGAAGAAATCAAACAGAATCAGTGCGTTGTTTATACCGAAATGCATGCTTTTATTTTTGGGATTTGTGAGAGACTGATTTTTTTATTTATTCTGAGGGTTGATCGTTTATTTATCGTACGTAGCTTAGCTAGGGTTATGTGCTGAGTAGCATATATATACGTAAAATTTAGCAGTAATTATATACTGATTAATTTGGTTATTGATTAAATGTGGGATGTTGTAGCCTGTGGGGTTGAGTAAGGTGTGATTTCTTATATATGTTTGCAAATGTAAGCTAGAGACTAGAGAACATCTATACTACTATATATACTAGCGTGTGATCAGTAATCGTACAATAATTCTAAAATTAGCCGCAAAAAATAATCTAATGATTTATGTTCTGTGTGAACATATTGAAAGGTTCATGAATTAACGGGAAAATTTCCACAAAAGCTGTGACTTGATAAAGTAGTTTGGTCGGCAATTAATGGTGATTAGAAAATTGAGTGGATTAATCCCTTACAAAAATTATAAATTAAACTTTTAATAACTAACCCTGTCTATATATATATATAATCCAATATTCGTCAAATTAGGTGTTGTTCACTTTAGATTTTAGTGTTTGATATTAAATCTATCTTTATAATTAAAAATCAATATCAGATTCAATAGTTTAGAACGAGTTATTACCACATACGTAAGCATGTTTCCTCCTAACAGTGTTCGATTCAAAATAACAGTTGTATAGTAGTGACTATGGAAATTTTATTTAAGGTGTGTTTTGGCGTAGAGATGTGTATTGTGAATATAGTGAACGTGAGGTAAATTAGTGGTGATGATTTTGAGGAAGACATGTTACCCGAGACGCTAAGCGAAGACTAAAGATCCAACGAATAAAATGACAATTAGGATAAAACCAAACATTGTTTTTATAAACAAGAGTCGCTCTGCTACACAACATACTAATACATACAAACATTATACATATTTTATCACAGATCACAAATTTTAATTGCAAAGTTTAACGAAACACAAAAGGAGAAGATCGATTCGGCCTCAAAGTCAAAGTTTGCGTTGGTCTTTGCTGCTTGGACTCATCCATAAATTAAGTAATTAACATATATTTACGTGTTTTCTCTAATTTGAAAAAAGTATAAATAAATAAAAATCATTGGACCATTTTGCTTCAACAAAATGCTGGTTTAAGAGAGAAAAAAAGCATTTGTTAGGGATATATATGATTCAAACGTTTATATTAAAAGACTGACTTACGAAGTTCCAATATGATGTTTATACAACTTAAAGGAGTAACATGTCAAAAGTTTATTTCTTTTAGGACCTTTGAAAACGTTGGACGCATGATACATGTATTGGTTCTATTTATGTAAGTTACATCGAAACGAAAATTTTACTTTGGAGATATATATTAAACATATCTGATTAAGAGATCATATATTACTAAAAAAGAACATATGTGTGTGTGTTCTTATCCTAGTCAAAAAAGTGGAAGGTGGTCTCACATTGTAATGCCCACTTACATGCAATTCCCAATGATGTTACTTACATGCACCATTAATTTAATACATAGATTAATCAAATTAGTAAAGAAAAAGTATTTGTAGTTTTTCTATTAAGATTGTATATATACTGAATATACAATTTATGAGAAACAAAGCTTCATGCGACATACGTTTTGGCTACTAGTTATTGGCAAATGGGGTTCCTAACTCTAACTCCTAGGTCAATGTCGTTTATCCGATCATCAAAAGTTAAAAAGTAAAAAAAGAAAAGAATACCAAATCCATGAAATTGAAAAACTTGGGAAACATTAGGCCATGAAATTGTGGCACGCTTACAATGTAGACTCCTCCTACGGGCTCACGAAGCTTGTTTTTGGATCTCACTGCTTCCACGTTTGTCGCTGATCCATGTAACATCAACCCCAAAACCTTTTAATTTCCATTCACTTAGTATTTTACACAAACATTTTAATCTCATACTAACACTACTTTTATTTAAACAACTTAGTATAGTTATTACGCCGTACGTTCACAATAAATATGTTTATGTAAGAAACTAGAAATGGAAATTATTTTTACATAATCTATAATACACTTGTGCAAGACGAAGAACAACAAACCCATGAACCAAATCTAGATACTTAAGGGACTTTTTCTTTTTCTTTTCATGTTGCTCATGTAAATGTAGTTGGTTTGGCTCGGATCCTGTAACTCGTCTACAAAATCTTATAAACTTCATAAATTACAAACTAATTTATCAAGCATAAATAACCAAACGTAAAATTCACAGAAGAGTGTTTCGAAACACCTCAACACTCTAACAAGTGACAGCCTATAAGCTTCGGTCTCTTTCCATATCTTACACGCGAAACAACAGTTCCGATCTTAGAACAAGTAAGTGTAGACATTCTTTGGAAAATAATGTAACAAAACTGTTATATATATATATAGTCATATCGTGATACAAATTAAGATAAAAATCTACACCACTGAACTCTAATCAAATACTTAATAATTTGACAAGGAAATGTAACATTTAAAAAATTTTATAAAAGAAAAAAAAATCATAGCAACTAAAAAATAAGAAACCTTTTTCATAACTAAAGGTCTGATGTATCTAAACAGCACACTTTTCGGTTGCCAGATATTAAAACGGGACACGGTCCAGCAAGAGAAAACAACAAGATGTCCTCTGTCATAATATAATAATGCAACGTAGTTTTTAATATCAATTTCTTAATACTGTATGTTTCTTCAGCGGTTGATTTAGCTCTCGTTACTCTGAAATTGTAGCTCACCATCTGACGAAATTCATCAATTTTGCCGGTGAATTTGATCCGTTTCTGATCCTACGATGGGTTCGACGTTCAGGGATCGGACGGCGGAGTTTCATTCACTGTCCAAAACGTTGAAGAAGATCGGAGCGATCTCGTCAGTTCATCAATATGAAGATGATCCGGTATCGTCCAAGCGGTCATCTCCGGGATCTTCAAGATCCGAATTCAATAAGAAGGCTTCTCGGATCGGGTTAGATATCCACGAAACGTCTCAGAAGATCGTGAGGCTCGCTAAATGTACGGTTCGGAAATCACATCTATTCTCATCATCTTCATTTATAATTTCAGTTGGAATCATGAGAGGAAAACCATCGCGAGAAATGTAGGGTTTGATCCGGATAGTGGAATTAGGATTTTTGTTGTTTCTTTAGATTTTAAGGAGCTGAAGAGGTATATTCCCATAGCTTTCTTATAGGGTGTGACGTAAATCTCTGCTTCTTAGGCATTTAGCTTGCAGCAGTACATGGTGCTCAGGAACAAAAAAAAAGAAGAAGAGAAAGTTATGTTGCTTGCTGTAGAAGTCATTTCTGTGTGTGTTTCATGACCATTATTAGATGATTCTAGAGACATTGTAGGGATTGCAATTGAAGACAGTCTTATTTCTTCTGAACTGGCTAGTTTGTGTTTTCCTGCAACTGTTGATGAATTGCAGTGGCAAAACAATCGTCGATTTTCAGTGACCGGACTGTGGAAATACAGGAGTTAACTGTGTTGATCAGGAACAATATCACGGGCCTGAATATGGCTCTCTCTGATCTCCAAACCCTTCAGAACATGGAGATTGCTGATGGGAACTATTCGCAGGACAAAGTTGGTCACTACACTGCTGTTTGTGATGACTTGAAAACCAGACTTATGGGAGCTACTAAGCAACTTCAAGATGTTCTAACTACCAGATCAGAGGTTAGATTTGTAGTTTTGTCAACTTCTTCTTGATTTCTATCTGCATAATTTCCGACAATGTACACTTTCTTAATTGAAAAATGTCTTGTCTTCTTGCAGAACATGAAGGCTCATGAAAACCGGAAACAACTCTTTTCCACTAAGAATGCAGTAGATAGTCCAGCTCAGAATAATGCAAAATCTGTCCCTGAGCCTCCTCCTTGGTCAACTTCATCAAATCCTTCTGGGAATTTACAACAACCACTGTGAGTTTTGTTCAAAAACTACTTCATAATTAACAATTACTCTCATCTAATCTTTTTCCCTCCTGTAACCAGATTGCCGCCATTAAATAGTGGAGCTCCTTCAGGTAGCCAGCTCAGGTATGTCCTAATTTCCATAACTTACAACTTTTGATTGTTTCCATGTTCCATTATGGTTTAAGGTCAAATCCTGTATAAAACATATGGTGTTTTGTTCGTATCATGCAAAAACAGACGCAGATCCGCAATTGAGAATGCTCCTTCGCAGCAAATGGAGATGTCCATGTTACAGCAAACAGTCCCAAGGCATGAGAATTATAGCCAAAGCCGAGCGGTTGAACTTCACAGTGTGGAATCAACTATAACAGAGCTCGGTGGAATATTCACGCATCTAGCTACAATGGTCACACAACAAGGAGAGCTAGCAATCAGGTTCTTTATTGTTTTCTTACCCACAACCCGACATATTTTAAGTTGCAGGAAACAGCATCTAACACCTGTCAGTTTTATGGAACAGAATCGATGACAATATAGATGAATCGTTAGTTAATGTAGAGGGAGCACGCAGCGCTCTTCTGCAGCATCTCACTCGAATTTCTTCAAATAGATGGCTCATGATGAAGATCTTTGCTGTTATCATCTTGTTCCTCATTGTTTTTCTCTTCTTTGTGGCTTGAAACAATACCATTTATCTCTTGTTCCTGGTGTATCAAATCCAGGGCTATTACTTCGACTATACAGGTTAAGCTTGTAAGCTTGTAGGGATCCCTTTTTTGTGTGGATAGTGGAGTGTCAAAATTTGTCTATTTTTCAGCAAGAGTCAATTGTATTTTACCAGAAAATTCTGATGTAATAGCATTTACTTCTGCTACACTTCTCATGGAAAATTTCAAAGCAAAACAAAGTATTATTCAGAAAAAGATATAATCACACATAATATGTTTCATACTAAACATCATAAGAAGCACAAGTAATCAACGTATATGAGTTTGGGACTTAGAAATCAAACTCTCTGAAGCATCAACAAAATGCTCAGAAGTTAATAAGTACCAAATCTATGTCTCAGAACAATCCAACCAAGTCTCTTGAAGTTGAGTATACTAACTTGGTGCTTTAGTCTCTATCTGACCTGGAAGGTTTATGCAGCTACTGAATCAAACCTCCTCATCATGTCACAGTGTGGCGTTTCACGGACAAATCCCCATTGTTGTCTCTGAAGCTCGTGTCGACAATTCTGACCCAATATAGACAAGTAATCTCTGTCAACTTGTTCCTCAACTCTCTGTCTCTCGAGACTATTTATTGGATACTCCTGCTCGAACTTGGCTGATCCGACAAAGTAATTGACGCCCCTATGCGTGGTGAACTTGTGGTCATAATTATACGATGGAGAGAGCGAGTAAATTGGTTGAGAAGAAGGCAAGAAGTTGAGTAGTAGTATGAGCACAACAGGGAGCATCTGGAGGAGTACACGAGGATTGAATCCTGTATCAGAAGCTTGGTTAGCTGTTCTAGTTCCTGCACCGAAATTGAATGATCGGAAGTGAGTAGTGGAAGTATTCATTCCACCACCAAAGAAGCTTCTGAAAATCTCATCAGCATCAAATTCATCATCGTAGAAGCCGTTGAACCCGTTGTTTCTTCTAGCAGCTCGGCGTGGTTGATAAGCAGGCTCATCGGAACCACTGACGTCGTATTTTCTCCTAGTGTCTTCGTTGCTTAGGCATTGAAACGCCTTAGAGACGGATTTGAAAGCTTCTTCAGAACCAGGAGCCTTGTTCTTATCAGGATGAACTTTCAACGAGAGTTTCCGATAAGCTTTCCTCAAATCTTCCACTGAGCATGTATTCGCCAATCCAAGAATCTCGTAGTAATCCTTCTTCGATTTTATCTCCCTCACGATCGCTCGTTGTTCTTCCGTGGAAGACGACGACGAAGATCCCGCGGCTGATGACGATGATCCACGTTGACGAAGAGAAGGTCGATCCGACGGCGGCTTAGATGACTCGTTGGCGGCAGATCCAGGCGAATCCTCCTCCGCCGCTGGTTCATCCGATTGCTTATTCAGATCAGAAACAAGATCATCAATCGGGAGAGACGGATCAAGACGACGAGCTTTCTCCAGAAATTTCAAAGCGCGAGAGCGATCTCCTGCTTCCACCGCATCCTTGCCGATTTTTAGGCATTTCAACGCGTCGTCTTTGTTACCATCCATTGATACAACGGGAAAGCTAAATTTCCCGATGAGACTATCGGAAGCTCCAGAGGAATTAGGGCGTCTCGCAGCGATAGGAGTTCATCTGAGATGTCGCCGCTGGGTCCTCCTCTTCCACAGAGAGAGCTTTCAAGCTTTCTAGACAAAAAAAGATTTTCAGAAAGACTACACAACATGCGTGACGTTTTGTATGTTGAGTTGACAACATCGTGTCATTTATTTAAATAACATGCATGCTATTTTCATTATCAAGAGTATCGTTAAATTGGGGGATAAACGATCGTGTCGTTTATATCTGCGAGTTGGGTGCACGCGTGTCGTTTGAGATGATAAAATGAAGACTTTATGCCGTTCTAATTAGTTATAAACGACAAGGCGTTATTCTTGGAAAGAGCTCCTCCAACGGATAAATGAAAGATCCTCTGTCCTCCAGCGATAAGAACCACGGGGACACACAAAATCGTACAAGTATCTGAAGAAGAACCAACAGAAAATTAAAAATCTTTACTTTGGAACACATGGCATCAGGGTTTTGATCGGAGGACCTAAAAGTCTCGGCTTTTTTCGAATTTTGTTGGTCGCCTTTTTAGGACATGAATCTCGCGGTGGCTAGTTTTAGCGGCAATTTCGGCGTCTTGTCGAAATGCAGCTCATGTTGTAGTCTTCAGTTTCAGCCTTTTGTAGCTACTTCGAGTCTCAATTTTGGGCAAACAGGAATATCTCGAAGGAAGAAGGATCTGAAGCTTGAAAGGTTTGGTTTCATATTGTTTTCATTCATCTTCGTCTTTTGTTAATCCCTCAGCATTACTGCTTCTGTCTACTTATTCTGGTGGCTTTTTGAACCTTAGAGTTTTCAGAAAGAGAGATACTTTTGTTAGAGCGACGGATACGCAAACAGAACCAGAAGACAATAATGATGAGGTATTTGTTTTGTATCAATGTGGATTTTGTTTATGAGTTGGTACATACCTGTGTCTGAGTTCATTAGTTCTTCTTTGCAGGATAATAATGGTGAAGAAGGCAAAGAGAATTCAGCTGATGATCCTCCTACACAAGTTCCTACTGAGTTGAATTCTCAATCAACAGTTGTGAATGAAGCGCCTGGCAATGAGGAGGACAACATTTCTCAGGTATTGTCTTCTTACTTAGAAACTAATGCATCCATGGTGAAATTGAAGTTCAATTTGTACGTTTTGTTTCCAGACTAGCAGCTAATCTGGTAAGTGAAACTTCAAAGCAATTGAATCTAAGCGGAATATCATTTGAAAGCATTGCTTAATTACTCTGGATGGCTTATTATTTGAACCGTATGAAATGATGTCATTTGATGCCGAATCTTATGTATCTAAAATACTTAATTACCTGTAAGGCTGTAACATTGTATTTTAACAGCTACCATTGTCCATATATGTAGTTTCTTGGTTTTGTTTTCTGAATGTGTAGTACTCTTCTCTTCTATTGCATTTGGAACAGGATGGTGATAAATTAGAAATTAGCAGCGGTTCTCCTCTTCCTGGTGTGAATGTAAGTATTAGCAACAATGTTTCTGCAACAACAGTTGCTGAATGCTTTCTGTTTGTTTACCGTTCATAAAAAGTTATTGTGAACAGCCATTACAATTGGATGATTCCATGAGACTCCCCAAGGAAACCATTGATATTCTCAGGGGGGAAGTATTCGGGTTTGATACCTTCTTCGTAACAAGCCAAGAACCATATGAGGTGAGTCAGTGAGAAACTCTTCGTTTTTCCCCCAAGGATATTATCAAATTTGTTTTTTTTTTAGTATTAAACAAGGTTCTGAAAATTCTTTTAACTGTTATATCTCTTGACGTTTTGGGAAAATGTTGGCAGGGTGGAGTATTGTTCAAAGGAAATCTAAGAGGTCAGCCTGCGAAAAGTTATGAGAAAATAAAGACGAGGATGGAGGTAGCAATTCTGGTTTTTGGGTTTCCTTAACTATGATCGTTGACAAGCACATGCTGTGACAAAGAGTAATAGTTGTAGTATATTGCTTATCAATCTGCAGAATAATTTTGGTGACCAGTACAAGCTTTTCCTCCTCACCAATCCTGAGGATGATAAACCTGTGGCCGTTGTTGTTCCAAGAAGGTCCTTAGAACCCGAGACAACCGGTATATTGCTATATACTTCCCTGTTATGAGGATCGCTCTCAGATTATTAAATTCTAGCTGGATACATATAATTGCAGCTGTCCCTGAATGGTTTGCTGCTGGTTCTTTTGGATTGGTGGCATTGTTTACATTGTTCCTCCGTAATGTGCCCGCCTTGCAATCCGACTTACTGTAAGACCATCTTAAACATGTTTTTCTATAGAATATGTTATGCCTCCAAATTATCAAACTGAATAAAACTTTTCCTCCCATCCATGAAATTAATTGCAGATCGGCATTTGACAACCTTGAACTGTTGAAAGATGGCTTACCGGGAGCTCTTGTCACAGCTCTTGTCCTTGGAGTACATGAACTGGGACACATTTTAGTTGCAAATAGCTTAGGGATAAAGCTTGGTGTTCCATTCTTTGTTCCAAGTTGGCAGGTGAAGATGCAATGTTCTATTTGAAAGAAAAGGAACCTCCTTTCAGCTGAAATTCGATTTTGTTAGACATTTGATGAACATGTTTTAGATGGCAGATAGGCTCGTTCGGTGCTATAACGAGAATCAAAAATATCGTAGCCAAGCGAGAAGATCTTTTGAAGCTTGCAGCTGCAGGACCTTTGGCTGGCTTTTCTCTAGGCTTGATTCTGTTTCTTGTAGGGTTATTCGTGCCTCCTAGTGACGGCATTGGCGTTGTAGTTGACGCATCAGTGTTTCATGAATCCTTCCTCGCTGGTGGTATTGGTAAGATTTTTTAAACTCGTAATTAAATATGACAAGTGTTGAAGGGTGAAGCTGGAGTGTTAATCAATGTTTTAAGCGTTTTCCTCTTTTGCTTTTTATAGCAAAGCTCCTACTCGGTGATGTACTGAAAGAAGGAACTTCAATATCTCTTAACCCACTTGTGATCTGGGCATGGGCTGGACTTCTCATCAATGGCATTAACAGCATCCCTGCGGGGGAGCTAGATGGGGGCAAAATAGCTTTCTCCATTTGGGGTAGAAAGGTAACGTTATAATTAGAATGTCTTAGTTGAGCTTATAATGTTCGTTTTTGTGGGGTTACGCGTAGTAATGAGAATTATGTATGTCTCTCCAAATGATTTTATCAGACGGCAACAAGGCTCACAGGTGCCTCCATAGCGCTTTTGGGGTTATCGGCGTTGTTCAGTGACGTTGCATTCTACTGGGTGGTACTGATATTCTTCCTGCAGCGTGGACCGATAGCCCCGCTGGCTGAAGAAATAACAGCACCTGATGATAAGTATGTGTCTCTAGGAATCCTGGTTCTGTTTCTATCCTTGCTAGTGTGTTTGCCTTACCCATTTGCTTTCACTAGCGGTGAAGCCATGATGATAGGCTTGTGAAATGACACTCTTATCATTCAAACAGCACAATAAAGAAAATCATCTCTTTTTGTTTTGGTCTCTCTATGTTTATGTTCTACTTTTACATCCAAAGTTATGTTTTTTTTGTTCTTGTTCTATATATTCTTTACTAACAAACCAAATTTCTGTTTTAAAAAATTAATATTTTGTTAATCACAGATGTGTATTAATTACGTGTGGTATTGTCAAACTAGACAGTATAGTAACGTTGGAAGGTGAATGAAAAGAACAAAAGCACATGCAATTCATGTGGATGGAATTTGATTTTAGTTGGTAGCAAACCAAAGCAACATTCCAATTTTACATATATAGTCATACTTATGACTTGTTTATTGGAGGAAAGGTCATATATAGTTTCTTCAATGCGTACTAGTATTATATAATTGACCGAAGAAATTAAAATACATCACTATCTATATGCCTATTAATATATATGTTAATGAAGCAGTGTTGTTAATATTCCGCTATTAGCAAATTTTAAAAAGCGCCTTTACACGACTGTCTTCTAAAGACTTTTAAATACTACTACTAGTAATTAAGAAGATAAGGGTTTTTGACTTTTGAGAAAGACGGGGTCGCAACTTCGTATATATGATTTTTTTTTTTTGGCTTGTGAAACTGATGTAATTAAGCCTTTGTGAAAGAGTTAGTAACTTTAAACTCTGTATCGTTGGCTTATGAAACTGATGATCATGTGATTAACCTTTGTGAAAAGACAGTTCGCTTTAGATGAATGTTTATTTCATTACACTGGAACCAACAAATGGGAAGCTACATATTAACTAGTGTCCTCCATCCAAAACGTGCAAGTAGGGGTTTTTTGATGATCGTTTTTTCTTTTTTATACTTCGAATCGAAAATATGCCACATACTATAATTTATGAATGACCATTTTTCTTCATTAATTTATAAAATAAATCATTCAACCATTTTAATTTGTTTGTTTGAATAATGCTCCAACGTTGGTCAACAAAAGATATTCACAAAACCTTATTATCTTTTTTTTTTTTTTTTGTCAACTTCACAAAACCTATCCGTAGGTAAACTTTTTGTTCTTTCTTACTGCTAATAGTTTAATTTTTTCCTTAACCATCCATAGGTAGTTAGGATTTGAGTTGAGTATTTGACTAATATGGTGCTATACATATGAATTTTCTTATGGCATATGTAGTAGTTTGATTTGATATATGACTCAGATTTTGAAGAAAATATATATGTTTTTGTACTGATATCGTTAAATCCTAAACAAAATTAAGCATATAGTTAGTTAATAACTTAATACTGTATTGTTTTTTTTTTCTTCTTCTAAAATGCCATATATTTTTTCAAGTAAATATATGTCTTTTTCCATTTTACAAAAAAAAAAAAAATATATGTCTTTTTCCTCATTTTTTCTAAATCAAATTCCGAAAAAGGGTTCGCATCGCAGCCATCCACTTCAACAGTAGAGAGAGTGCATGCACGTGTCTTAGTGAACAAAACGAGGAAAACAAAAAAAGAACAGGTGAGGGGTATTAAAGTCAATTCATTAAAATCACATGGTCATCATCTTTTATAAATATATGTTGCAACCTCCTCCTGCTTATTCCATTCGAGTAGAAATATTATCAAAATAAATTTTTACTCTTTTAGGCCTTTTTTTAAGCCGTCACCTCTGAATCTTCTTCTCCGGACTTTTTCAAACATTCCGGCCGCCACATCCCAACCGTAACGGCGTAACCAACCCAGCAACGATGTCTACTACCTCTATGAATGTAGCGACGATGCAACCTCTGAGCTTCTCTCGCCGGCTTTTCCCTTCACGCGGACTCTCTTCTTCTTCTGTGACCGTTACTGGCTATTCCGGTCGAAGCTCGGCTTACCCGCCTTCTTTCCGTTCGATTAAATGTGTCTCTGTTTCGCCGGAAGCTTCAATAGGTGAAGCAAATGCTCTTCTTCTTGTTATTTGGGTTTTGTATTTTTTGATTTTTACACATATATAAAAATGCGGGAAATTTTGTTGAACCACAAATTAGGCCGACCGTTAGCAGTATATTTTCAATTCTCTGAGTAATTTGATTGTGAATGTGAATCCTCATGCCTTATGCTTTAGAGATTACTGTGAAATCAGTTCTGACTGTGATACATGTTATTTTGTTTCTTTGCAGTAAGTGACACAAAGAATTTGGCAGATGCTTCTAGGAGCGCAAACCTTATACCAATTTACCGTTGCATATTCTCTGATCAGCTTACTCCTGTTCTTGCTTACCGTTGTCTGGTCAAAGAAGATGACCGTGAAGCTCCTAGCTTTCTTTTTGAGTCTGTTGAGCCAGGTTCTCAGATGTCAAGCGTTGTAAGTTGTTGAATCTTTCTTTTGCTCACGTATTTGTATCCTTTTTAATCTGTTACTATGTTTCAGTTCCTAACTGTTTCTTTGATGTGGACTGTTTAACGATAGGGTCGTTATAGTGTTGTTGGGGCTCAGCCCGCGATGGAGATCGTGGCAAAGGAGAATAAAGTTATTGTAATGGATCACACAAATGAAACCATGACTGAGGAATACGAGGAAGATCCCATGGAGATCCCTAGAAAAATCTCTGAGAAATGGAACCCTGATCCTCTACTAGTTCAGGACCTTCCAGATGCTTTTTGTGGTAAGATATTTTTCTTGATTGTTTATATATAGTTAACCTGAAGAAAATAAAGCCACTGGTTTTATTGATTACGGAAATGTGATAATAGTATGGATTTTCTTGAGGCAAGCTTTTGAGTGATCTTTGTACATGTCAAGTTTACATGGGTTTCTACATCAAAACCAATTACGAAGTAATGTAGGTAGTTCGTGTTCTTTATATACCATACCATATTTGGTCTTTTACATTTTTGGACGTGGGATTACAAGTACTAGACACGTACATCTGGTTTCCCTAGAGGCCAGAGCAACTGATAAAGTATAGCGCTTTCTGTTTGCCCTTTATTGTGCTGGTCTTGATCTGAATATTATGTCCCCGATATGATCTAGTTCGCCCCCTACCTTTTTGCCCCTTAAGACAATAGTCTCCGGTTCACCTTTATGTCTTCATTGTCCTTTTCGTTTCCCCTTTGTTGTGCTGCTCTTTATCTGAACATTGCGTCCCTTATGTGATCTACTTTTCCCTATACCTTTTTACCCCTCAAACAATGATCTCTGATATGTTCTTGAATGTTCTTTATTGTGCTATTAAATAGACGATTGATTGACCTTAGTGTCCTTTCTTTTTTTCTGAAGGGGTGTCTCTTAACAAGATTTCTTTATCTTGATAGGTGGGTGGGTTGGTTTTTTCTCGTACGACACAGTTCGCTATGTCGAGAAGAGGAAATTACCATTTTCAAAGGCCCCTGAAGATGATAGGAACTTGCCAGACATGCATCTTGGTCTTTATGACGACGTAATTGTATTTGATCACGTGGAGAAGGTATTACTTTTTGTTACCATCCATGTTTTGATTAACCTGTGAAATCTCCAAAGTTGGTAATTTAACGTTCCGTTTAATTTCTACAGAAAGCATATGTTATTCACTGGATAAGACTAGATGGGAGCCTTCCTTATGAGAAGGCATACAGTAATGGAATGCAGCATTTGGAGAACTTGGTGGCCAAGTTACACGATATTGAGCCGTAAGTATCTCTTTCACTTAATTTAGTTTGTGAACTTCTTTTGATTACTATCCTTAAAAGTTGAATTTTTTCCGTTGTCTCTACAGACCAAAGCTGGCCGCAGGTAACGTGAATCTTCAGACACGACAATTTGGGCCAACGCTGACAAACTCGAATGTGACATGCGAAGAGTACAAGGAGGCTGTGGTCAAGGCCAAAGAACATATACTTGCAGGAGACATATTCCAGATCGTGTTGAGTCAACGTTTTGAGAGGCGAACATTTGCAGACCCATTTGAAGTTTATAGAGCACTAAGAGTTGTGAATCCAAGTCCGTATATGGGTTATTTGCAGGTTGGTGATAGAGGGAACTTTTCGTTTACAACTTTGGTTTTGTACTTGTAGTGAATAAACCATTAATACTTTTGTGTCTTCTTAATCAGGCTAGAGGATGTATTATGGTAGCATCAAGTCCAGAAATTCTCACAAAAGTAAAGCAGGTAAAAGCTCTCTTATCTCAAAACTGCATAAAATCTTAATATCATATTTGAGCTAACCTTTATATCATATTTCACGCAGAACAAGATAGTGAACCGACCATTAGCAGGAACCAGCAAGAGAGGGAAGGATGAAGTTGAGGATAAGAGATTAGAGAAGGAACTGCTAGAGAATGAAAAGCAATGTGCTGAGCACATTATGTTAGTTGATCTCGGTCGCAACGATGTTGGAAAGGTTGCAAAATACGGATCAGTGAAAGTAGAGAAGCTCATGAACATCGAACGTTATTCCCATGTTATGCATATAAGCTCCACGGTAAGTTTTGATTGGATAACCAGTAGATCAAATATCTCAAGTCTCACCTAAGGTGTTCCTTAATATCCTAAGTTCAACTTCTATGTGTGTAGGTGACAGGAGAGTTACAAGATGATTTAACTTGCTGGGACACACTACGTGCGGCTTTACCAGTGGGAACAGTTAGTGGTGCACCAAAGGTCAAAGCCATGGAACTGATCGATGAGCTAGAGCCAACAAGGCGTGGACCATACAGTGGTGGTTTTGGTGGAGTCTCCTTCACTGGTGACATGGACATTGCTTTGTCCCTTAGGACAATCGTTTTCCCGACAGCATGTTCTTCCTTTGTCCCAAATTCAATAAAATCATAACCAGCATGTTTTCCCGCATGGCATATCTTCAGGCTGGAGCCGGTGTAGTAGCTGATAGTGACCCGCAAGACGAACACTGTGAGTGCCAGAACAAAGCAGCTGGTCTTGCTCGAGCAATTGACTTGGCTGAATCTGCATTTGTTAAAAAATGAATGTGCCCAAGAACAAGAGCTTTTTTCTTGATATGGTGAGGATTGCATTAATGAAGCTCTAAAAATTATTATTTTTAAATTCTCGTAAAAATAAGCCATGCTCCTATCAAATTTGTAAATTCGATAAATAATTTAATACTTTTCTCCTCAATTATGGTATCATCATAGTAGTTAAATGTAAAATTGCCTAATTTGCCTTATAATCCATATTTTTTTAAAAAAAGAAAAAGGAAATTATTTTTGTAGTAGATTTATTAACTGAAAAAGTGTATTGGTAACTTCTAAATATCTTTATAATTTCGCCTCTGAAAGTGTCCTTCCTTCTCAATGTCCGGGCATCCATCCAATGCATATTTTGAATGGCATCATTGCCACTCGCTGATGCAAGGGAGAGACAGCGAGTGGGAGATGATTCGAGGGAGACTGGTATTTACGGCGTGTAATTTTCTCCGGATTAAACCGGCTATTGTACCTAACCAGATCATTCAAGCGGTGTTCCCTTAAAGCTTTGGCATTCGGTTTAATGTTTAACCCGAACCAGAAAATTCCCATTTCACTGTTTGGTTTAATCCGGTTACTAACAAGAGAATATATGGATTCACTAACTATTTTGTCAAAAGTTATACATTTTAAACTCTGTTGGAGTCAGAATAATGTCTCTTTGCTGCTGCTTCTTCTTCAAGCATTGTTGTATTGCATCTTTCAAGTCATATGGAGTCGATCAGTCCAGAAAATAAGGATGAGCAAGAGCAGCAGTGGCTGTGATTCTCTACACACAAGAAAAAACAAAGACTTCAATGGAAAGAACCTTTTTGATATCTTAATCATTTTGCTAACTCTTTCAATCACATTACCTCGGACGGATCAATCACCAACATTCTGGCCAAAAGATCAAGAGCTTTGCGATCAAAGCTGTGGAAGAAATCCAGAAAAAAGAGTCAGAATAAAGAAGCCTCAGAAAAGAGAATAGAGCAAAGCAAGTGAGATAAATAAGTTACTTTGGATATTTGTCTCTCAGACATGTCTTCATAGGCTGAGAAGGCACCTTTTCAGAAAACCCGGGCAAGTTTTCTTCATTAGATGGTGGTCCGCAAAGCTCATAAATCTTCTTTAACTGATCATCTCTATCAACACCACACAAGATGTGGACTCCCTTATTCAACAGCTGCGCAAATACTATCCCTACTGACCACACGTCCACTTCTGGACCGTATTGACGTGACCCAGTTAAGATTTCAGGTGGCTTATAGAGAAAGCTAATGACTTCGCTTGTAAGCTCATTCATCATGTCTTGCAATTTACGATCACCAGGAAATGTTGAGTCTGATACGGCAGGAAATACATCCTTAAGATCTACATCATCCTCCTTTAAACAACATGCAAGCCCAAAATCCGCAAGTTTTAAATTTCCATTCTCGCAAACCAGTATATTTGCACCTGAAATGTTTTTTAAATGTATTATGTAGCAAGTACGTAAGAAGAACCAACTGGCAAGTAAGCAAGAAGATAAGATTAGTGACTGTTCACCTTTAATATCACGGTGAAGAACTTGATTCTCATGACAGTACTCAAGTCCAGCGAGCAACTGCTTCATGTAATTCTGTGAAAAAGAGGTTTAAAAGTGAGAGAAGAAGAATTTCGGTTTACTGCAGACTATGACAATGAAGTGTGTCTATACGAGATGGAATTACCTTAATGTCAGGAGCCGTAATCTCTTCTTTGGCAAGTTTAGACAAGTCAGAATCCATGTACTCGAAAACCATGTAGATTCCTCCTATGTTCTTATCTAATCAAAATGGAAGCAAAGGCACAAGAATTAGGCAAAATACTCAAGCTTTACTTCACCTATCTTCAAAGGAAAGTGTCAGATTTTATTACTTGAAGGAGTCAGTACTTCTTTCAAACTGATCACATTAGGATGAGTAAGCTTTTGTAGGATGCGTATCTCACGGCTTGCATAAAAAGGCAATTCTTCAGACCCTAATTGTGATATGCCACCATACATCTCAAGCTTTAATTCTTTTACCGCCACCATTGTACTGGTTAAGGAGTCTGTAGCTCTATAAACCTTACTGCAAAAGACCAAAAACAAACATAAACAGTAAGCATAAAACTTCACCGGTTTTGATAAATTTAGCCTTGACTGCATTATATTAAGAGTCCATTCGAAGAAGAAAAGGGAAACAGATAGCAACAATGCAAACACAGCCAGATCAATATTAGTTTCGGTTCAGAAACAAAATCAAAATCACAAGGCACCCAAATGCAATGGAAAGATGTACTTATCTAGCATAAACCCTAATCATACAGGTTCCGATCTCTTAAACAGCAGATGCGTGAAATGAATAACCACAAGCCACGATTCACTAGTTTCAATTTCTTTAGGCACCCAAATGCAATTGAAAGATGTACTTATCTAGCATAAACCCTAATAGGTTCCGATCTCTTAAGAAACTAAGAATCACAAATTACTAAATTAGCAAGAGATAAAGAAGTAAACAAAATTGATCAAGAAGCGAGGAAGAAGAATGAAACTAGTGAGTACAACAAAAATTCGCTTATAAAGAACGAGGAAGAAGAATGAAAACTTCGAAGAAAGTGAGAAGAAGAGTTTACCTGAAAGTTCCTTCGCCTATCTTTCCCAGCATAAGGTATCCATCGAGATGTGGAGATACTTCTTCGCCTGCCATATCCGCGTCCGTTTCTTCTCGAGCATCACTCATGATCACCGGAGAATTTCAACTTCTTCTCTCGGAGAAATTTCTCCAATGGCGCCCCTTCTTGCTTCACTTGTTCTCTTCACTTGTTCTCTCCGAGAACTTTCTTGGGTTTGAAGACTTCGCTCCGCGCCTTGAAGCTTTTATTTGGATCTAACAGAATTTATCCGGTTTAAACCGGTTCTTGTACTGAACCACAATTGTGGATTGATTTCGGATAGAAATTACAATAACCATACTGGACCGGTTGATTGTGGTATAGTTAGAAAGCTTTGAGAAGACCCTAGGAAGCGCCGGCATGTCACCACCCAGGAACCGGGTTACCGGAGCTCAATACTAAACCGTAAACATCACCCTGAGCCTTAGCCGGTCGACGCTTCCGGCAAGCCTCTGAACCAGCTCAGATCCGATCCGGAAAGCTAAAGACATGAATTCACCCGACAAAAGAAGCTCACCGAGAACTGTTGAACAGTACAGGAGCTTCGAATTGGATATTTCAGAGAGACCACCGAAAGAACAGAGCTGCACACGCGATCTCCTCTTCGACGGGATCTCCTCTCCTCTAAGAGGCTCTTCACATAGAAGAAGCAACATATATAACTGAGCACAGAGAAATCACGTAGACAAGGAAATAAAAGGAGGAGGGGCCGGCGACGGTTCACGGAGGACCACTGAGCACCAGCCCCGATAAGATCTGAGTAGGTTGCCGCAATCGTTTTTTTTTTCTTTTTTTTCTTCTTTAGAGAACTTTTTTTTAGTAGAACAATCAATTTAGCCTCTGTGAAAAAATAGTGCCAAAAACCAATGATGGGCCAACAAGAAGTCAAGCCCAATCGTATTCTAGCAAGTTAGAAAGGCAAAACCAAGATGGACCAAGGTGATGAAAGGCCCAGTTTGCGTCCGACCAAAACTGCAACGGCTCTTTGACAACAAAACAGAGTTTGTGAGAATCAGATCAAAAGAAGCAACTCCAGAATCGTTTTCAAGCCCTTAAATTCCCTTAGATAAGGCCTGATCTTGACATCTGTTAAATGTCATTTGGGGTTTTGCGTTTCTTCTCGTTGTATTAAAAGCATTTTGAGAAAGCTTTGTAAAAAACAAGGTAAGAAAAATAACTCTTTATTGTGGATAATAGTGTGATTAATTCACCAAGTAAAATACACTTACATGAAGTGTGATTGGTTGTTATGCTGTGCTGTAGACCATCAAAAGAGCCACAATTTTTTTTCTATCTATATTGGTTGTTAGTTGTTACCGCGAATATTTTCAAAAAATTGCCATAAAACCATTGACGCAAAAAAAATCAAGAACAAAAGTAAATTATGTTATATCTTGGACATATCTATATTATACCTTTTGTGTTCTACCTTTTTATTTTGTCATATTTACATAATTAAACCATTGCAATTTGATTAAATAGAAAAAGTTTAAGATAAATTTTGTAATTAAATAAAACTAAATTTGCAAAATTAAAAATCAATATTTATTACATTTAACAAAATTTCCTAAAATCTCTCCCTAATAAATCAAAGATTTCTCCAACATATTTATATGATATTATTTGTTTTTAAATTTATATTATTACATAAACATATGTATAATAAAAATATAATTTTTTTTGCATATGTTGCAATTTGAATTGTTAGAAACGGATATATATTACTCAAACGATACAAAAATGTATAACCTAAAGTATTATTGATAATTGTGTATCACGGGTCATGTGATGCAGCGAGTTATACTTTACATAATTATGATTATAGATATTTTTACGGGTTGTCTACTATATTATAACTCACAAAAATTTTAAATATAAAATTATACTATGTAAAGGAAAGATACTATGTCAATATCATTTTATTATTTTAATATTAGACTTATTTTAATTAATTTGATCAAATTACAATTATATATTATAGGAAATTATCATATAATATTTTACGGGTTAAATCATATAATTAACAATCAAAATATTATTACTCGCTTATATACCAAAAAAAAAAAAAAAACATTTTAGAATATCGTCCCGTGGTGTACCGCGGGTCAAAATCTAGTTTTCACTAGAACCATGTTCAAGATTATTTGCTTGGGATATGTTTGTATCATTTCTGTTCCAAAACCATCTATAAAATATAAATTAAAAGGCTTCAATTCTTCAACCATGGAGAATCACAAAAGAGACTTAAACACCATGCTCAATATATAATATACTCAACACAAACTATATAGATAGGGCCTATTCAGCTATCCTTTCAAACTTGATTAATTTTTCTTTCACTAAAACTGTCAAGCTTTTCCTTTTCTTTGAATTATCGTTTTCTTGGTCCACATACTTGGCAGCAGGACGCTTTTGGGTCGATTTTTTTATCATTGGCCCACTCTAGCACCTGAAAAGACGTCAAATACAGAGTTGAGGATGCATCCAAGGATGAGTACACAATAGCACATAACACTCACCAAAGGGAGTCCATAGAAATGGGTGCTACTGGATAATGGCTTTTTCGCGTTTCAAGATTCTTCCTTTGTCCCAAATTCAATAAAATCATAACCAGCATGTTTTCCCGCATGGCATATCTTCAGGCTGGAGCCGGTGTAGTAGCTGATAGTGACCCGCAAGACGAACACTGTGAGTGCCAGAACAAAGCAGCTGGTCTTGCTCGAGCAATTGACTTGGCTGAATCTGCATTTGTTAAAAAATGAATGTGCCCAAGAACAGAGGCTTTCTTTGAGACTCCGAATTTAACGTGTATAAAACAGTTACAAGCAGAACAGAGCTTTTTTCTTGATATGGTGAGGATTGCAATTAGACTTCATTAATGAAGCTCTAAAAATTATTATTTTTAAATTCTCGTAAAAATAAGCCATGCTCCTATCAAATTTGTAACTTTGATAAGTAATTTAATACTTTTCTCCTTAATTATGGTATCATCATAGTAGTTAAATGTAAAATTGCCTAATTTGCCTTATAATCCATATTTTTTTTTTTTAAAAAAAGGAAATTATTTTTGTTGTAGATTTATTAACTGAAAAAGTATATTGGTAACTTCTAAATATATTTATAATTATCTCCATACATATTTTAAAGTTGTTATAAATAAATTATTTTATTTTAAATATGGCAAAATCTAATAAGTCCATTAGAAGGAGTAGTGAATTTTAGGGCTGGTCTTGGTTCTTCTCTCGGTGGGTGGCTGTTTGTTAGAAGGAACCTCTCCGCGCGCGTCTGATGATTACGTCACTTCCTGACGACATCATCGTCGATATTATAGCGCATGTGTCGAGATGGGACTATCCAAATCTCTGCCTTGTCTCTAAATACTTCCGGTCACTCGTTTCATCGTGTGAGCTATACCGTAGACGATCCTTGTTGGGCTGCACCGAAGCTTGTATCTATTCTGCTCTCTTGGATTACGAAACTAATAGATATCATTTGTATGTTCTTCGTCGTCGTCTGAAAGGAAACAACGTCAACAGTTGCTCTTTTGTCCGTATCGCGTCGCTTCCTCCTATGCCTTTCCAAGCAAGTTATGTCTCGGTTGGTTCCAAGATCTATGTGTTAAGTGGGTTCTCGAGATCAGGTTCCTTTAGCATAGACTGTACGTCTCACACTGTGCAGCCCTTCTCCGAGAACCCTCATGGACCCAAGGCTAGAAAGCTCCTTGACGTCATCGACAAAAAGATTTTCGTAATGGGATCAGTGTTCGAACATGACCTTGCAAATTTAATGAAGGTAATGCTGGTGTTCAATACAGAAACACAAACGTGGGAGCCTGAGATGACAACGAAGCCAAGCAAAGAGTTACGTCGGTTCTGGTATGACAACGTGGTGATTGCGGGTAAGATGTACGTGAGGGATTCTCGTTTTGACGAGAGCTTTGTTTACGAGCCAAAGGAAGATAAATGGGAACCGGACGAGATTTTGAATTCTAATAAGTGGTACCGTGGTTGCGTTCTTGATGACCTATTGTACTACTATGATCCTTATGAGAACAAGTTAAGAGTGTATGATTCTAAGCACAAGTGCTGGGAAGTGGTGAAAGGTTTGGAAGAATTTTTCCCTCATACAGCCTTTAAATGGTCAGACACTGTGACTTATGGTTGGAGGAGACTAGCTGTGTTCTTCATTAAAGGTGAAGATAGGTCGACTATAAGAAAAGAGATTTGGTGTGCACAGATCGCGATTGAAAGACGCCAGGGACATATTTGGGGTAAACTTGAGTCGTATGATCTTGTGTTTGACAGCTACTTTCGCTTCAACAAAACTCTACCGGTTTTGGTTTGATCAAGTTCAATTCTAAGCACAAGCAAGCCATTAGGGATTCTAATTTTCGTTATTTTTTTTTATTTTTTTTTTTACCATAAAAATAGTACTGAATCGAAGATATGATGAGTACATTAATTAAGGGAACAAATAGTATATTTCTACTAAATAGTTTCTCTCAAACTTCTTTCACCACTAACAACAATCGAGCATTTTCCGTTTCTTTGGATTATTGTTTTCTTGGTCCACAAACTTGGCAGCACAAGATTTTCTGATCGCTTCCACGCTCTTGTCTTCCTTCTTAGCCCACTCGATCACCTGCAAAGACCTCATACAGAGATGGTTGAGTATGCATCCAAGGATGTCAAAATGAACAGGCTATAGAGATGACTAGGCAACACAAGACTTACCAAAGCGCGTCCATAGAAATGGGTGCTGCTGGATAATGCCTTTTTCGTGTTTAAAGCTTCTTGCTTTGTCCCAAATTCAATAAAACCCATTTTTCGCATTCTTCTTTGGAATCCTAACACTCTTGACCTGCATGAACAAGAACCAAAAAAGAATTATATCCAAATACATCTTGTTCCAAATACAAGTTCTGTTTCGTTCCAAATACAATATAGAACTTGTGTTCATGCATGACTTGTAAATGGAACTAATAAGCTGTGCACCAGAAGTGTGCACCTGTCCAAACGGAATGAACAGCTGTCTCAGTTCTTTTATGGTTGCTTCAAAAGCTACATTCTTCACACATAATTTTTTCATAGTTTTGTCCTTGTCTGAACCTTCCCCAACCGTTTCACACTGCTTGCTTTCAAAGTAACTCAAGATCAATTCATGATCATCCAAAACACTTCTTCTTCCCTACCAACAAAAAAGAAAAAAAAGTGTCACCGTACTTCATCGATTCAAATTTCAAAGAGAGAGACTTAACTAGATAATATATACCTTCAGAACACTGGTCGCTGTCTCTATTGAGTCAAATTCTACAAAACCATAATTGCTTGTAGGACGATTCTTCCCATTATTTATTATCTGCTTTATAGTGAAAAGTAAGGAAAACAAAAAACCGACTTCTAATGGTTATGTGCATATCATCTGTCAGCAATGAGCAAGCACCTACCTTAACACTCAGAATCTTTCCCTGCGTCACCAGTTCAGTCAAATGCTTCTTCAAACTCTCATCACTTGTCTTGAAGTTCAGATTCTTTACATGAAGGACATTTGACTGATATATAATGCATTGTTTAAAGGAAACGTTATGTGAGAAAACAGAATATTTCAAGCCAATTAATAAACATAAATTATCAGGATTCCTAACCTGAAACATACAAGAATAGTGTACTAAACCCGTAAATATCGTACCCACAAGGTAAGACTAAAACCAAATCTAGTTGCCCAAGCTAATCAAAGATTTTACCAACTATATTTTTCAAAACCACACAAAGGAATAACATATGGTTTCAAAACAATCATAAAGTGGACTTATATACCTCAGGTATATCCGAATTGATTCCAGCGTGCTGTTCCGAGTTGACTCTTGTCACATCATTTTCTTCGACATCACTCTTCTTTTCTATGTTATCGTCAACTGCTTCTGGCTCAAGAATATCTCCAGGAGCCCACTCCAGATACAGGGGAGAACCTCTGAAATAACAGGGAAATGTGGTGAGACAGTTTGGTTAAACAAGGACAATCATATATCTCCAAGAAGCACTTTAGGGAAAGATCAAAGTTAACGACAAAGCCTTACTTGTAACACTTGTATGCCATTCCCTTCATAGCTGCACGAGCCTCAGCCGGTTCAAGGAAAACAACCTTTCAAGTCATGTAAGAAGAGGTTAGAGGACAGAACAGTTTAGAGAAGAATAATAAGAAAAAGATAATACAAATAAATATTATTAATAACATATATTTAACAGTTTAGATAAAAATTATAAACTTAAAAGATAGTAACATATAAATTAAAAATAGAAACTTAAAAAGATATAAACATAAAAATGAAATACAAATCATTTTATTAAATGAACAAAAAAAAACATTTGGGGAGGCTAGGGTTAGAGAGAAAAACATTTGGGGATTTTTTGTTTTCTTTCACAAAAAAAAACATTTTTCAATTAAAACTAACAAAAAAACACACCCAATCACATGAATACATGTGGCCTAAGACTCTCAAATGAAAACATCTTCGGTCTTAAAAATGTACTATTTGCATTATTTGGACTTTCTTTAATACTACAAGAACCGATCGAATATCTGGTTAAAGATGCCCTAAGATTGCAGTGTATCTAAAGGTTATTAACAATGATCTTAAGACGTCTAAATGGTTCGAAGACTCCGACGTTCCCTTTATTTAACGAGCCCACTAAGAGCCCATAGTCTTGACTTGTGTTGTGGTCATATCATTATTTTTTCGTGTTGGATTTTTTTCTTTAACTTTTGGCCCCAAACTGTTTTCATTTTTTTACTTTTTCTTCCCCTATTCCATTTGTAATTACATAACACCCCGCCGATTTGACTTTGTTTTGCCAATTTTTATCACTTGTGATTTAAGACTTTTACTTTCTTGTATTTTTGGTCCTTTAGTTTTTAATTTGCTGAAACAGTCAGCAACAATGTTTCTCCAGTCAAATGTGAAACTGAAATCAATTAGTCAAATGTGAAACAAGATCGTTTCCTTTTTTTTTAGCCGTCACCTCTCAATCTTCTTCTCCGATCTTTTTCAAACATTCCGGCCGCCACATCGCAACCGTAACGGCGTAACCAACCCAGCAACGATGGCTACCTCTATGAATGTAGCGACGATGCAACCTCTGAGCTTCTCTCGCCGGCTTTTCCTTTCACGCGGACTCTCTTCTCCTGTGACTGTCACTGGATACTCCGGTAGAAGCTCGGCATACGCGCCTTCTTTCAGCTCGATTAAATGCGTCTCTGTTTCGCCGGAAGCTTCAATAGGTGGAGCAATGCTCTTTTCTGTTATTTGGGTTTTGGATTGTTTGATTTTACCGATGAAATGGGTCGAAATTAGCTGCATTTAAGCTATAAATTTCAATTCTCTGACTAACTTGGTTGTTTCGATTGTGAATGTGAATCTTCATGCCTCAAGCTGTTAAGCTTTAGAGATTACTGTGAAAACTGTCCTGATACATGTTATTTTGATTCTTTGCAGTAAGTGATACAAAGAAGTTGGTAGATGCTTCTAAGAGCACAAACCTTATACCAATTTACCGTTGCATATTCTCTGATCATCTTACTCCTGTTCTTGCTTACCGTTGTCTGGTCAAAGAAGATGACCGTGAAGCTCCTAGCTTTCTTTTTGAGTCTGTTGAGCCAGGTTCTCAGATGTCAAGCGTTGTAAGTTGAATCTTTCTTTGTACGGTTCTTTCTATATATATTTTATCAGTTCCTAATTGATTCTTTGTTGTGATTGTTTTGTTCTTCACAGGGTCGATATAGCGTTGTTGGGGCTCAGCCCGCGATGGAGATCGTGGCAAAGGAGAATAAAGTTATTGTAATGGATCACAAAAATGAAACCATGACTGAGGAATACGTCGAAGATCCAATGGAGATCCCTAGAAAAATTTCAGAGAAATGGAACCCTGATCCTCAACTAGTTCAGGACCTTCCAGATGCTTTTTGTGGTAAGATATTTGTCTTGATTGTTTATATATACTTAGCCTGAAGAAAATAAAGCCATTGGTTTTATGGATTACGGAAATGTGATAATAGTATGGATTTTCTTGAGGCAAGCTCCTGCTTTTGAATGATCTTTGTACATGTCAAGTTTCCATGGGGTTCTACATCAAAACCAATTACTAAATAATGTAGGTAGTTCGTGTTCTTTATATACCATACCATATTTGGTCTTTTACATTTTTGGACGTGGGATTCCTAGTACTAGACACGTACATCTGGTTTCCCTAGAGGCTAGAGCAACTGATAAAGTATAGAGTTTTCTGTATGCCCTTTATTGTGCTGGTCTTGATCTGAATATAATATCCCTGATATGATCTAGTTCGCCTGCTACCTTTTTGCCCCTTAAGACAATAGTCTCCGGTTCACCTTTATGTCTTCATTGTCCTTTCTTGCGTTATTAGATAGAAAAATGATTAACCTTAGTGTCCTTCCTTTTTCCTGAAGACTGAAGTGGTGTCTCTTAACAAGATTTCTTTATCATGATAGGTGGGTGGGTTGGTTTTTTCTCGTACGACACAGTTCGCTATGTCGAGAAGAGAAAATTACCATTTTCAAAGGCCCCTGAAGATGATAGGAACTTGCCAGACATGCATCTTGGTCTTTATGAAGATGTAATTGTATTTGATCACGTGGAGAAGGTATTACTTTTGTTACCATCCATGTTTTTGATTAACCTGTGAAATCTCCAAATCTGTTAATAAATGTTCCATTCAATTTCTACAGAAAGCATATGTTATTCATTGGATTAGACAAGATGGGAGCCTTCCTGACGAGAAAGCATATAGTAACGGAATGCAACATTTGGAGAACTTGGTGGCCATGTTACACGATACTGAGCGGTAGGTGTATCTTTCACTTAATTTAGTTTGTGAACTTCTTTTGATTACTATCCTTAAAAGTTGATTTTTTTCCGTTGTCTCTACAGACCAAAGCTGGCTGCAGGTAACGTGAATCTTCAGACACGTCAATTTGGGCCGACGCTGACAAACTCGAATGTGACATGCGAAGAGTACAAGGAGGCTGTGGTCAAGGCCAAAGAACATATACTTGCAGGAGACATATTCCAGATCGTGCTGAGTCAACGTTTTGAGAGGCGAACATTTGCAGACCCCTTTGAAGTTTATAGAGCACTAAGAGTTGTGAATCCAAGTCCGTATATGGGTTATTTGCAGGTTGGTGATAGAGGGAACTTTTCGTTTACAACTTTGGTTTTGTACTTGTGGTGAATAAACCATTAATACTTTTGTGTCTTCTTAATCAGGCTAGAGGATGTATTATGGTAGCATCAAGTCCAGAAATTCTCACAAAAGTAAAGCAGGTAAAAGGTCTCTTATCTCAAAGCTGCATAAAATCTTAATATCATATTTGAGCTGACCTTTATATCATATTTCAAGCAGAACAAGATAGTGAACCGGCCATTAGCAGGAACCAGCAAGAGAGGGAAAGATGAAGTTGAGGATAAGAGATTAGAGAAGGAACTGCTAGAGAATGAAAAGCAATGTGCTGAGCACATCATGTTAGTAGATCTCGGTCGCAACGATGTTGGAAAGGTTGCGAAATATGGATCAGTGAAAGTAGAGAAGCTTATGAACATTGAACGTTATTCCCATGTTATGCATATAAGCTCAACGGTAAGTTTTGTTAATTACCATCGTATCAAACTGTTCAATTCCTGTTAAGTGTTCCTAATCATGTCAAGGTCTACGTGTGTAGGTGACAGGAGAGTTACAAGATGATCTGACCTGCTGGGACACACTACGTGCGGCTTTACCAGTGGGAACAGTTAGTGGTGCACCAAAGGTCAAAGCCATGGAACTAATTGATGAGCTAGAGCCAACAAGGCGTGGACCATACAGTGGTGGTTTTGGTGGAGTCTCCTTCACTGGTGACATGGACATTGCTTTGTCCCTGAGGACAATCGTTTTCCCGACAGCATGTCAATACAATACAATGTACTCTTACAAGGATGCTAACAAACGCCGGGAGTGGGTGGCATATCTACAGGCTGGAGCCGGTGTAGTAGCTGATAGTGACCCGCAAGACGAACACTGTGAGTGCCAGAACAAAGCAGCTGGTCTTGCTCGAGCAATTGACTTGGCTGAATCTGCATTTGTTAAAAAATGAATGTGCCCAAGAACAGAGGCTTTCTTTGAGACTCCGAATTTAACGTGTATAAAACAGTTACAAGCAGAACACAGCTTTTTTCTTGATATCGTGAGAATTGCAATTAGACTCCATTACTTACAAGCGATAGATACTCGTATTTTTTCGTGTTGGATTATTTTTCTTTATCTTCTGGTCCCAAAAATGTTTTAATTTTACTTTTTCTTCTCCTAGTCCATTTGCAATTACATAACACCCCGTCGATTTGACTTTATATTACCAATTTTTATCACTTGTGAGTTAGACTTTTATTTTCTTGTATTTTTGGTCCTTTAGTTTTTAATTTGATGAAACACAGTCAGCAACCATTGTTCTCCAGCAAATAAACTGAAATCAAAAAGTCAAATGCGAAAGAAGATCGCTTCTTCTTCTCCAATCGGAGATAGCGTAGCAAATTTCTTCTGATTATGTCTTTGATAAACGATGCGAGTAGTAGCCACGACGGCGGAAGCACCGGAGAAAGCGTAATCGATGATCGTGGCCGCTACAGAAGCACTTGCGGCTACTGTAAATCCCCAACTCGGTCAAGCATCGCCCACGGTTTGTTTGATTTTGCTTTAGTTTATCGACTATAGATTAGAGTAGAATCTCGTTCTATGACTTCTCACAAATTAATTTATAAGTGCTTCGAATGTTTCCTATGTTTAAGCTAAAGAGTTTTTTTTTTTCTTCATTGTTGAGAAAAAAATGATTTTGTCAATGATTATAAAATTCAAATGAAGATATGATTCTGATGAACTTAGTGAATGTTTGTATTGTCAATGCAGGTTTATCTGCAGAGACTCTTACCGTTTATGACTACCAAGGTTTGTTTTTGTTGTTCTTGGACTGTGTGTGTGGATGAACAAATTCTCTCGAAGAAATAGTATGTTTTTGAAAGTTATCTCTTTGAGTTGACATTATCTTGCTTTTCTTCTATTGAGTTTGAGATCTTTTATGTATCTTTGCTTTTCTATTCTGCAGCTCTTATTGACCGAGGCTGGAGACGATCTGGTTCCTATCTTTACAAACATGAGATGGATAAAACTTGTTGCCCTCCTTATACAATCCGTTTGAAAGCAAGTGATTATGTTCCTACTAAAGAGCAGCAGCGAGTTTCTAGAAGACTAGAAAGGTGCATACAAATTCAGTTTTCTTCTCTTTTCTCTTTCTTTGGATCTGTAGATGATAGAATTTAGTCATGTTATTAGACGAGACAGAAAGGTTGTACTTCGTTTATTCTCACAATGCTTTGTTAAAGGTTCTTGGATGGCAAACTAGATGTGCAGCCCAGGGAACAAACAGAACATTCATGTGCTTCTTCCTCTGGTGGAGTTTTAGATTCAGGGGAAAAAACATTTGGAACTGCAAGTAGTGCAGAAAAGAATAAATTTGAACCAATTATGGATGACTTGTCCAACAAAATTCACCAAGCTGTGCAAATATGCATAAAGAGTGGGGAATTCCCTTCTAATATGCAGATACCGACGAAAGGTTCAGTGAAGAAGGTCTTCTGTGCTAGAAGAAAGAAACTAGCTGAAGGATCAGAACAACTTTTCTACACCAGCAACATTGCTTTTCCAATAGCAGCTGCAATAAAATGCACCCAGACATCTGAGAAAGAGGAGATGAACAATGCTGGAAAAAACAGATTATCACCTGAAACTATTTCTGAGATGTTGTTGAGTGCTATGAGTAAGGTGGGGGCAATTCCTGATTTTTCTATTAAAGTCTGCAAGGGCCATATCAATTTCTTTTCAGCTTCCGAAGATTCTTTCTCTGATAGAGATGTTGTTCCTAATGGTAACATCTCGAGAGGGGCCAATTCAACTGGTGAAGGTGAAAGCTTTAACACGAAGATGGATTCACAAAACCCTCAGACAAGAAAGCGAAAGCTGGAGATACATTTGAAAAGGTCTAGTTTTGATCCTGAAGAACATGAGTTATACAAACGGTATCAGCTGAAAGTGCACAATGATAAGCCGGGGCGTGTCACAGAAAGTTCATACATAAGGTTTTTGGTCGACTCTCCTTTGATATATGTTCAGCCTTCTGGTGATGAAAAGGTTCCGCCTTGTGGCTTTGGCTCTTTCCACCAACAGTACAGAGTTGATGGGCGTCTAATTGCTGTTGGGGTTGTAGACATTCTTCCTAAATGTTTGTCAAGTGTATACCTATTCTGGGATCCAGACTATGCATTCTTATCGCTCGGGAAATATTCTGCCATGCAAGAAATTAGTTGGGTCAAAGAAAACCAAACTCAGTGCCCTTCTCTTCAGTATTACTATCTTGGCTATTACATACATTCGTGCAACAAGATGAGATATAAAGCAGCCTACCGTCCATCTGAGCTTCTATGCCCTCTCCGTTTTCAGTAAGTACCACCAAACTGAAACCTAATTTGGTTACTCTATGTCTTAGCTCATCAACTATCTAACATGAAGAAAGGTGCGGTATGAGTTGTACCACTTGTAAAAATTATATTTATATATCCTCTTCTTAGACATGTGATCGAAATGAGGAGACTGGTAAATATAAGTTTTTTGAAAATTCGGAGATGTGTTTTCAGGTGGGTTCCATACGAAGTAGTGAGGCCGATGCTTGATAAAAAGCCATATGTCATCTTGTCTGATATCGCCAGTTCACAAAATCAATCTTCTTTACTAACTCGTGCTTCTGAAACTCTCGTGGAACCAGCAGCAAGGGAACATGAAGACATGGAACAAGGGGAGACAAATGATAATTTTATGGGCGGCAGTGATGATGATGATGATGATGATGATGAAATGTGTGAACTGGAATCAGAGGAGTCTCATATTGAATCCGGATCCAAAGATAATGACATTAGCAACATCCCTATCAGACTTTATGGATCCCAATATAGATATAAGGTACATCAAACTTGTTTTTCCTTTTGACTTCTTTTTGTTAAAAGGCTAATTTGGTGCATAACATTATCAAACATCTCATCTTGACAAAAAAAAAACACAAAAAATTTGGATATGGAAGGATTTGAGGCAGATAATAACGCTAGAAGGGAGGAGGCAACTGGAACCGATGTTAAAAAAGTACAGCAAGGTCGTGGGGGATGAGCTTTCAGAGAGAATGGTGTATGAAATCAAGTAAAGAAAGCATGCCTGCTTAATAAACCAACCCTCGTTGAGCTTTACTTTAGTAACATTGTTTATAGCATTAAACTCAGAATTGATTGTGTATCATGTCTAAGTTGCTGTGTCAATGTGACATGGTATCTTTCTTCATGTTCTCATTGCCTTGATTTACCTTGCAAGTATCATTTTAAGATTTTCTTTATTATATACGTGACTCTATAGTGAAATAAGAAGAAGTATAAAGGAACAAAGAAAAGAAAAAAAAAAAAAAAAAAGGAATAAATAATGAAAAGAGGAGAGAGAAGAGAGGATGGGGGAGAGGTCCAGAGGGAGAGGAAGCGCACGTGGGGTGGGGGGGGGGGAGGAGGCCTGCTTGACAGTGAAAAGAGAAAAGCCAAGGCCCACACGATTGCACCATTTTCAGACTTTGGGAACTGTTTTTTTATTACAACACAGACACACACAAAAATGAAAAAATGAAAAAAAAGAAGAATAATAATAAAGATATTTTTTTTCACATTCTCAGAATTTTGGCAGAACCTTTTTACCACATCTCTCACACGTGTGTTCCTTCCTCGTCTTCCGTAAACTTTTTTCTTTTCTTTTCTTTTGGTTTTGACTCTTTGACCGCTAGCTAAGTAGCCTCTACCTCTACTTCCCCTTACTTATTACTTTTTAATACCCGACACAATCAAAAACTTATATGTTTTCGTTTGGTTCTTTTGGTTTGCCATGTAAATTTATCCTGTCCAAGAATCAGTTTCTCATGTTTCGTTAAAAGATCTTTCTTTGTTCGCTCTATCAAACATTTATTATTTTGACAAATACTTGTAAAATCAATAAACTTACCCTAATATGTAGTAACTACATAACTTATACATATATATATGCTCACTTTTGAAAGGATTTATTAATTAAACTTGAAAGTTAAAAGACCAACTTTGCTTTGATAATAGAAAGAGACATGATGATAGTTTTGGACGGGTTAAATGACTAATCAATTTTGCGGATATGATACGTAAGTTTTTAACGTTAACTAGGAGAATGAGAAGTTGTAATTAATTGGAATTATGGGTGTACGGGGGTCACAATCAAGTACAGATTATGAGAGAGAGAGAGAGAGAGAGAGTGGTGAAACTAGAATACAAATCGTTAAGAGACAAACAAGAGGAAAGAGAGGCATCCCATTCATCTTTTGTACTGATGCTGAAATACTGTCACTTCACACGTGGATTTTTAAGATATGGTATGTCGTGTGTCTCGTGATTTGTCAAATCACACTCACCCACACACACATATCTTCTTCTTCTTCTTCCCCCACTCTTCTATTATGACTTGTTTGAATGTTTGGTGTCCTCCTAAACTTTTACTAGTTACACTTCTCGCAATTTACACAATTTTAGCCTACCAAGTTCTCTCCTACATACCCTCTTCCGACGCTTTTAACATGTACAGCCTTGCAGTTTTGGTATATAACAGTCTATTTGTATTTGTGGATATTGAAACACCCAAATATGTATGTGCTCTTTATTCTGATATTGAAAACTCTTCTTACCCACTAAACACAAGAGTATTGTATATTCTGTTTATTAATTGTGATGAAACATTATAATCATTATAATGGGCAATGGAAGACGTGTCAAATATTCAATAGAGATTAAAATAGCGATACTAATAATAATTGAATAAAGGAGCACATATTGGATTATGATGACTTCGCTTTCATCACATGTTAACGAGAATACTTTTCGTGTAAATAATGTTTCATCTTTGTATGCCACTATGGGGTCCTTGGATCGTTAACATTTCTTCTCAATCTTTATGATTAATACCACTGATATATACAACCCAAATCATTTATACATATTTTAGGAACAAAAACTTCTATTATTAATTTTATAACCAGGCTAAACTATCGTACTTTGCAATAGAAATACACATATTATAGGAGAAATTGACCGCAATAGCAACTAGTACTATACTAAATAAAATCAATTTTATTTTTTTCAATAAAATTACGTATATATAGGTTTCTATTACAAAACACGATATTTTACCTCTTTATATAACTTTTAGATGTTAGGTTAATTAATTAAAAAAATCATATATTGAAGAAATAAGGTAGAATCAAGCATATGTTCGAACATGAATGCTTAAAAGGGTGTCTTGTGGAGGGGATATTAATGTATACTAGTGGTAACTTCACCTCAACATGGAGAGAAAGCTTGAGAACTTGAGTGTGCTAGCTAAAGAAGAATAAAAGAAATACTATAACTAAATAAAATAGTTTAGGAGCAATTGAAAAGAACATTAATTTTAAAAGCCACTAGCATTTAATATTATAATAAAAAAAATTGGGAGGAACTATTTCTGCTTTTAGCAATTCGCTTTTTTGGTGTTTGCTTTGTTGAGGAAGGAAATAAACATGAGGATGGGGTTTAGGGTCAACAAAAACATAGGCGCTGAATCATTAGAATTTAGACCCCTTCTTTTTCATATACTACATAGATTTAATTGCCACTAATTTTTACCGATTATATTATATGCGTAGTTGCGTACTATGATATTCATATAATTTGAGATACCAATGAGCCTAGTAATTAATACACTAATACACCAAAATGAATCTTTAGGTACGCCTAGACATACTTCATAATGAGATAACATGCGTATATGTATGTTAGGTCTCGGATGATACTTGTGATAATACTTTATATCGAACACTCCCAACCTTTTGAAACTTTAACTAATACGTTCGATAATTGTTTCGAAATTAAATAAACTGAGTTCTCACAAGGTTAACTAAATGTGTTAAACGTGATAATTGTATATATAACTGATAACTCGTAACGTTCAAAGTTTTAGGTTTGTGTCTTTTTGAAATGTATTTAGACGATATTAGTCGATGTCAGTTTTGTAAATCTAGGGTTTTACTTAGATCTTAGAGTCATAATTTTAATACTGAATGCATGTGTTTAAATGATTTGAAGATGTGATCTTAGGTAGGGACTCACTGAGATTCCATAGCATATAAGAAATAGTATAAGCTAGATAGAAGGCAAATCGAACTTAGAGCTAAGAGAGGCAAGTGTTGCTAATCACTACTTCTATAACTCCTCCTTTGCCTTTTTTACTCTTCTCTATGCTCTTTTTCCCCATTGACCCATTTCCTCTTCTCCTTGGGTGTATAAACTAATTAGTCCATTTTGGTTTTCAATACAAAAATTAAACCATTCTTTTTTGAGTGGATTAGAAAGGTAAATCTGTAATAATGATAAGGAAATAAAAACTATAAAGCAATATTTGATACTATCGATCCAAAGGTGTGATTAATTAAGGAAAACCCCAAAATCGAACCATATTTGATGAAGACTAGGTCCAAAAACATCTATAATCCTTCAGTTCAAATGTATATACATTCTCAACCCACCTTTCTATATCATGTCCTTAAAAAGGTATAACGCGTAAAAGTCACATGTAAGTACATCAAAACTCATCATCAAGTACTGAACATAATTAGTATGATCACTAATAAATCATGAAATAATCCTAACTTTATAAGAAAAATGAAAAAAAGAAATATATCTTTTTAAAGAAAAGAGATGATGGGAAACTCATGAAATGGGGACTTTGGGTGAGGGAAAGAGAGAGACATGTGAAGTGTTCATAGGCAATTTGTGGACCAACAAGGCACATGCATGCTACTCTTCTTTCATCAACTTTTTCCTTAGTTTTGAGCGAAAGATAATGTTTGATGATTAAATCTATTTTCCCATTACCATCTTTGATATTGGTGAAAACTAGTGATGCTAATACATATCCAATATATGTTTTAGGTTCTATCACACTGATTACATTCACCAGACAAATAATTTGCAAATTGCACATTCTACCTTACTAAAAAAATGTTGCAAGAAAAGTTCCTATTGATTATTTCGTAATTTCATCGAACAATAATTAACTTGCCTCCACTTTCACATTCTATCTTACTTTTGCAAGAAAAGTTCCTTAGTTTTTGAACAAAGCAGAAGCCAAACCAAAATGCAGCCACTAGCAAAGTGGTCCTATCACATATACTAAGTCACTCAGGTATTGGTTTCGAGACTAGTTTTTGGTATATAGGGAAACTTGTTTGATGATGATAAACAAATTAAATTTTCTCTCTTAGATATAACCATGGATAGAGAGATTAATTGATATAGTCATTATTCTAAATCGCCTCTATGATATAAACATTAATAATCTATTTTGAAACTTCTCTGCATGGTTCTGTCGTTTTTCTATTGGTTTTGAATGTGATATTGTGGAGGATGTGTAATAGTAGCAAACCTCCCAAAAATATGTGGGCAGATGCAATATTAGACAAATAATGCGAAACGCAAATCAGAAGAGGAGAACAAATATATTAAGTGCTCCTAAATCCCCCACTCAAAGCCATGTAGAGAGTTTAGTTTGATTCCACCATGTCCATCAAAACTCATGACTTTTCTAATCTAACACACAATCAAATCAATAATAAGACCGAAATCGGACCAACTGCAAATTTGATACAGAGGTGCTTGGTTGTGTAACATCTACAACAAAACAAAAATATGGGCCAAGATATAGATTGATATATCAACACAAGAATCCAAACAAAATGTAATTATGGAACCAAATTTCTAACCTATGATAGTATATGATTCATCAATTCCTCCATTTTCTTTTAAATAATAGAATTCAATAAGTTTTATACGTTGGATATATATATATATATCATACTCCCTCTGTATCTATTTGTTTTTTTTTTAAAAATAAAATATATGATTTTCTCACAAATATATACGAAATAAATTATATTTTGCATTAATTGAATTGTGTTTAGATATATTTTATATGATATTTTAATGTAAAAATAAACAAAAACTAAAGGATTTCATAATTATTATATAGAATCAAATACTGGATCAGATCGAAAAAAAATCAAATATTGCTTTTAAATAGTAGTATCCATTAAGTTTAATACATTGAGTATATAATGATAAAGTATCACATCTTGCTTTTATAATATCAATTAATGTATCAAGATTACATATTTATCTTCTTATTAATTTGAAAATCTCTTTGCCCAGCAAATTTAGATTGGTACAATTAAAATTGTGAAAGAAATATATATTTTTGACTTTCAACAGTGTATGTATATAAATGAAGAAAATATTATTAAAT